GCAGAGTGATTCTGGGGAATTCATTGTCAAATTAATTACCTGGAGATTTCTGTTTTAAGGGTAGGTTTAGTATTAAATGACAGGATGAGGTGCAAAGTGTGAGACTTCGCTTGTGCCTCAGCATCAGAACAAAGGAACAAAATCCTGTGTGAATTAGGCAGTGTGTATTTACATCCACCCAAGTAGGTGGTAGGAACATTCCCACGCAGTAGCTTAAAATTCTGGGAATTACAAAACACAGGCTGTCACTAAAGGGAGAGCATCTTTGGTCTGAGTAATGAGAAATGGGGTCTAACTTTGAAGATTTCACTCCTCCATTGGCTCCAACAACCAGCATTCTGGTGTTTCCCAACACAAATGTGGGGCCTTGGCAAACTCCAGAGGGTGATCTTGCAGCACAGCTGGAGTGGAACAAAAATCACCTTGCTTTCAAGTGTTTGTATTCTGGGATTTTGTGTTGTGTAGAATTTCACATCTCAGTGCCTGCACTTGGATTACCTGCCTCTCAGGAGCCCCTGTCAATTTTATAAGTTCATTTGAGTGTGGATTTCAGCAGAATTCAGCCTGTTTCTCAAAAATAGAGCTTCCAGCAAATCAGAAATGCCCAGTGAGCAGTGGCTGGAATGTGTGGTGTGTGTGGTGCTGTACAGCACAGTGTGACCCCAAACAGCTCTGTCCCTCACAGACACAGGAAGGGTGTTTGGTTGGGTGTTTTTGGGGTGTTTTATGGTGTTTTTTCCCCTCAGATGAGTAACAACTTTCTGTGTGAACAGGTGGGGGCTGCAAACTGTGTGGCTCAGTGGAGCACTTCAAAAAAGACTGCCCGGAGAAGCAGAACGCAGGTGAGCTGCAGGGCTGTGGGGTGGCTGTGGGTCCAGCAGGGTTCAGCTGCTGCTCTGCATGGCTCTGGTCAGGGAAAAGGCTTGGAAGAGGGCTTGGAAGCAGCAGAGGTGACCTTTTGTTGGGACAGCAACAGGGAAGGGTGTGGAGGAGGCAGCAAGTTGCAGTGCAAAACTAAGACAATTCTTTTTTTTAAAACAGAAAGTTCATCCTGTGTGTGTCTGAAGGCCATATGAAATAATCTGGTTGGGGTTTTTTTTTTTGGCCAGTAATTGTGCTGCTGTTCACAGTCTGGCAGCTGTACAGCAGAACTGGCTGCTGCTTTTTGCAGATTTCAGTGTGGAGTGGTGGAGCTGAGCCCAGTGCCAGGTGCAGGGTGGTGGTGTGTGCAGGCAGGTGTGTCAGGCACCCAGCACAGGGACAAGGAAGATCTGTACAGCTGGATTCACAGCTAATGGACTGCTTCCTTACGTGTTCCTCAGCTATCCATGTGGGTGGAAAAATTAATTTAGGTACCCCAAACCCCCACTTGTCCTACAGGAGGCAAAGCATCCAAAAAGGGTTTGAAGAATGATCCTGTTACTGGAGTGGTGACACACTTGTGCATTTTTCTACTTTGTTTCTATGACACTTAGTTATTGTGCCACTTCATAATCCACTTTGGTGAAATTTGTGTAAGAATTATTTATGGCATTCTCTATATCTGATCCTACATTAATGATATTTTTAGGTCTGAGACCATATGTAGGATTCTAGGTATGTACTGCTTTTCCAGTTTAGAATGGGTCAGATTCGGTCTGAATTGGTATGACAGAAGTTTATGACACCAAAAGACTCTGAAATTTCCCCAAACTCTTTTGCAAGTAGCAAGGCTGTACCCACTTGAGTGACTGATGTTTTAGAAGCCTGTAGATAGATTTTTTTCTACCTTTTTGTGGCAAGTTTAGCATCCATTATGAGGACTGTAGGGCTGTTTATTTTCCCAAGAGACTTCTTTCAAAACTAGCAGTGCTGGTAAAAAGCAGTTGAGTTACATGGAACTGTGACACTATTGGCAGGAATTGTGATATTTAAGATCAAGTGTGCATTGTGCAGGTGATGTTCAGGTACAGGAGGACAGGTGAAAGCTGGCAAAGACATTCAGGCACTGCAGATTCCAGTTTCCTCAGGCAGATTGGGCCAGCCTCAGTGCCCAGAGCCTGATGTGGGCTCCTGTGGCATTCCCCATGGGCAGAGGGGCAGAATCCCCCCTGCCCTGCTGCCCACGCTGGGTTGGGCCCAGCACGGGGCTCTGGGCTCTGGGCCCAGCACGGGGCTCTGGGCTCTGGGCTCTGGGCCCAGCACAGGGCTCTGGGCTTTGGGCTCTGGGCCCAGCACAGGCTTTGGGGTCCCAGCCCTGCCCCACAGCAGCCCCAGGGGGTTGGGCAGCTCTGCAGGTGGGGTCTCACCTGGGGACAGTGAGGGGTGACCCAGTAAATCGCCGGCTGTGTTCTCGGAGGAGGCCACTCAGCAGCTGCAGTTAACATTGATGAGCCAGTGCTGGGTGTGCTGCCCTGCTGGGGCTCAGCCCAGGCCGTGCAGGGGCAGGGCTGGCCTGGCACTGCTGTCCTGTGTCCCTGCAGAGCAGGTGACAGTCGGGCGCTGGACCCCCGGCCTGAGCGCGGACCACGAGGACGTCGCGGCCGCACCGGCGCCGCAGAGAGCGCAGCCCAAGCGACCCAAGGTTGTCACTTTCTGAAGGCTCCTGCCTCTCAGAGAGTTCTCCTGCTGCACTCAGTGCTGACGACAGAGAGCGGATCCAGAAAATCAAGCAAGCTGCAGAGGAACTGTTGGTTTTCTGTCTCCCCTCATTTTCCCGGTTTGCCTCCCAAACTTGCCTGGCGCACTGTAAAGCTGGGAACAACAGGAGCACAGCAAGTGGCTGTTTTATTAAAGGAATTGTGGGTGTTTTCTAAAGGCTCTTGGATTCTGGTTTGGTTTTGCCTTTTCCTTTTAGAAATAATGAAGTTATTCCTCCATGTGTTCCAGCTTGAGCAGTCTTGTGGTGAAGGTTCAGATCAGCCCTGTGGCTGTAAAGCTTGGGGTGCAGTTCCTGATGGTTGTAGTGGTAATTATCAGCCATTAACCTGATTGGTCATGCACACTGGGTCATTTCAGTGTGTTCACTAACAGAATCCAGCCCTGCCTCTGAAACCTCCGGTGAAACACACCCCTAAGGAATTAAAGACCAAGTGAGAAGCTTCCTTAGCTTATTTACTTATTTTTCAAAGAAAGTGCTCAAAAATCTGCAGTGTTTCTATACCTTGGTGAGCTGGAAGTAAACTTTTCTTAAAAAAAAAACCCCAAACTGGCAGATATTAAACAGAAAAATTAAGAAACCAACTCCAAACAAGAGTTCCTGCATCCACCAGTATTACCGGAGAAATGCACCCTGACCTTCCCTCACATATTTTTCTTGCAGCAAAAAACAAATATGGGGAATTAAATTTTGTGGGGATATTTTATATTTGTACAGGTAATTATTTTTAATAAAATATTGCTAAAGAATACAGTGGTTAGAGGTTATATTTTAGATTTCTGTGGAGACTGAGATAAGGGGTGTATGTTCAGTTAGTATTAATCAAAGCACATTTTTAAATGGGGAAGAGGAGTGGGTGTGAATGAAACCAAGGATTAATTATGGAGTTTTAGTTAACTATTGGATAACACCTCAAAGCTATCAGTTTAATGTGGACATTTTGGTAACAGTCATTTATACCAGCTTAGAGAAGCATTTCCCTTTCTATTTTACACATTAAGTACATTGTTTAAAAAGCATATTTTTAGATAATTTCGCAGCTCCTTGGCTTTGTGATGTGTTCCTGCAGCCATGGGGCCGTGGACTTGGCCTGTGCTGGTGCAGGCAGTGGTGGTGCAGCTCCCGAGGAGGGGCTGATCTCCAGCTCCTGCAGAGCAATCTGAGCTGTAAGTGCTGGACAGAACCACTGCAGGAAGCTGTTTGGAAAGCACCGGCAGAAGGTGCTGCTTGTAAAGGTGTAAATCCATGACTTTACAGTGCTGGCTGCAGCAGCATCTGGGCTGGCTGTGTCCAGAGCCAACATTAGGGGTCTCTCTTCACCAGCGCTGGGATCCCGGGTTACCTGCGCAGCCCAGGGCTGCTCTGCCATCACCTGCACGGCGGGGAGAGCCCTGCTGCCGGCAGGGAGCTGCACCCTCCCGAGCTGGGAGGTGGCACTCACCACCTTGGTGCTCGGAAGGGGCTGCCAGAGTGAGGTCCTGCACTTTATCCACGTGAAGGAAATGCTGATCTAGAATGAGATCTGGATCTGTGAACCAGAGGCCTGGAGCTGTGTCTCTCCCTGCATTCCTGGTGAAGCACAGCCCGGTGGGGTGGCCCAGCAGGCAAGGCTGTGCCCAAAGGGAGGCACAGGCCAGGGGATGCCGGAGAGGTGACAGCCCCAGGGCTCCCCTCGGTGCCTCCCCTGCCATGCTTCTCCTGTGCAAACAGCTGGTGGGTTCTGTAACTCCCTGCAGCAGGCTCTGCAGGGCACGCTGAAGGTGTGTCCAGTGCCAGCCCTGAGAGCTCTGACCCTGGCAGGGGTGGCACTGCAGTGACACGGAGTGGCAGTGCTGGCCCTTGCCAGGATCCAATTGCTGATGACACCCTCGCTGCTCTGAAGGGGCCTCTCTGAGCTCAAACAGAGCAGCAAGCAGGGCAGACACAGCTCAGCACAGCCCGGGAGCCATCCTGTGTTTGCTGGGGAGGAGTGCACCCAGGAGTTGCTGCTGTGTGTGTGTTTCTCCAGCCTGGCACAGCTGGCACAGGCTGCAGCTCAGGGCTCTCCTGCAGAACCCACCAGCACTGCAGGGCAGCCTTCTGCACCCCCACGTACTGGGGTGAAACCTGTGGTGAGTCTGTAACCTCAGGAACAATAATTTATTGGGAGTCACAGATAAAGGGACAAGTACTAAAATACGGACATTAGCAAACACTAATTTACATGGGCTGTACTCAGTTTATAAATAATGGTGTGCAAGCACCTGCACGGCCAGGTCAGAGCACTGGCAAAGCCACTCAGTAGCACTGGTTTCTGCAGATTACAGGGGGTGGTATTTAAAGCTGCCTGGGTGCCACTCTGTTTAATGTAACATTAAAACTTATGAACTACAGCTCTACTGAGCCAAGTTCTGCCTCCATTTATATGAAATTCATTAATGCAATCAAAAGCAGAATCTGTTCCTTAATCTTTTTTATATTAAAGATTGAATTTAGAGCCTAAGGCCTAAGCTTGGTTTGATAGGAAATGCTTGTGCCAGGTATTTTCAGGCTGAATCCCAATACTGACTACATGATCTGAAGCAAGTCACCTACAGAAGAATGATCCACACCCTGGCAGGAATTTCAGCCAGAAGTGCTTGATAATCTTCAGATGTCCCTTCAGAAATCTGCTTTTAACTTCAGCACTTGCTGTCTTGCAGCTCCAAGAACTTTATACACTCCAAAGCAGTGTCTTCAATGGATTTTGATGAGCCAGTAAGATTTGCAGCTAAGTAAGGCATAACTCCTGATGTCACTTGATTGAAGTAACACACCTGTTTGAACAAAAGTAAATGAAACAAAAAAGCCTATGGATTGCAAGTTAGCCATTTTTTTGCAGAGCCTGGATGAGTACCACAGCTTTCATGGATGTGAATAGAAGCACACAGTGCTTCTGAAACTGAAGGGAATAATTTGCAAAAAACATGCCTTTTTTACAACACCCCAGTGATCTGGATGTCCTCACTGCTCTCAGACCCTCCAGCATCTGCAGGTAAATGTACAGAGCAGTTCAGCAAGAAATACTTATGTATAACATATTAAATATGTGTGCTTTGTGAGCAAACCTGTTCCCCCAAAAAAAGGAACTGCAGCCACCAAGAGCTGCTGAAAGTTTTCATAAATGTGTTTTATTAAATGGAAAAGTTTTAGCCTTCCCATGGCAAAGAAGATTGGCCATGGGTCCAGAGATGGGAAATCAGATTGTGTGATTCCTGGCATATGAAGGTTCAAGCGGGGAATTTAATTTCAACTAATTCCTTGGCCTTTGTAGTCAGTGGAAAGAGGGACACACCACCAGAGACCAGTGCAATGCACATCCCCTAGGGGTGTATTTTAGGAGTCAGTGAATGACTCTGGAGGGGCAGGGGTTCAGGGTTCATTTCTAACAGTCAAAGTTGGGCCAGACAGACCCCACACACCCAGACTGAACTCCTTTTTTGGAGGTATTTGGCTGTTCCCTCTGCAGTCTCAGCTCAGGCGAGGCGACAGCCCCAGGGCAGGGGGCACAGGGCAGGGGGCACAGCTGGGCCCTGCAGGGTTACTCACAGTGCAGGAGCTGCTGCTGTTGCTGTGGATCTGGAACCCAGCACAGAGGATTTCACTCCTGCAGAACTCCGGGCGTGGGGGCATCGCCCTGAGGGTCACCGACCTCACGGCCACCGTGTAGGGCTCCCTGAAGAGCAGGGACAACAAGCATCACTGCCACTGCCATATTTTCTGAAAAATCCCTTTGCCAGGATTTCTTCTCCTGGGAGGATGAGAAGCCTCTGCTTCTCCACGTTTTGCTCCTCTGGAATGTGGTCTGGAGACTGTTTATCCAAACGTGTGAATTGTTTTTAATTAATGACCAATCACCATCAGCTCTGTTGGACTCTGAGGAACCAGTCACGAGCTTTCATTACCATTCCTGTTTAGCCTTCTGATATATCCCTTATATATCCCTTATATATCCCTTTAGTATAGTTTTAGTATATAATTTTCTTTTAACATAATATCATAAAATAATAAATCAGCCTTCAGAGAACATGGAGTCAATTCTCATCTCTCACCTCGTCCTGGGGACCTCACAACACCACACATCACACCCTTCCTCTTGTTGAAAACGTTCATGGCAGTGATTACATCATGTCATTTTCACAGGAGGGCAGAGGAGCTCAGGTATTTTCCACAATCCTGGTTCAAAGCCGGGGCCCTGGTGAGCCTCAGTGAGGCTTCAGCACAGAGCCCAGTCCACGAGGCCTCTGTGGCAGCCGGAGAACAATTCCCCACCTTTTCATTTTAATTAACCCTGCTCTCCTCAGCCCACATTTACTGGATTGGGGAACAACCCTTACCCAGAGGCTTCACAGTGTGGCCACAGTAAAGGTATCCAAACTCATTCAATCCCCCCATGGAGGGGGAAGGCAAGCACAGTACAGAATGCTGCCTTTTAGTGCTAAGTTGAAGAATTACTGAATGTGAAAAAAGAAACAGAATAGAGAAGGGTAAGATACACCAAAAGGTTCCATTTGCCCATGTTTCACGATGTAAGAACAAAAGGAGATCTAATAAAAATAATAAAACTTTAAAAAGCAGGGTATGTTAAACTGAGCAAGGGACTTGGCAGAATTTACAGATACAATAAATGTGTGAGGTTTCAAGAAGTTCCTTGACTAAATAAAAAGTCTGTAATTACATGGAATGGGAGTACAAAGTCACTTCAAACAAAGAAGAAATCAACTCCCAGCTAGGTGCTTCAGCCCACTGACAGGCTCTCTGGGACATGATATTTTTTCTCCATTTGCCCATTTGAAATTCTGGCCTATTTGCCCTCCTGGTAGACCACTCCCAAAGAGTCACTATCAGAGAATCAATACTGGTTTAAGCCAAAAGTTTGTGATGATCTGGATTTATTTCATTGCACCTTCACATTGCAAAGCAAATCTGGCTGTACAAACTCAGGCATCAACCAAGGAATCCCACTCCTTAGAAAGTAAAGTGCCCTTTTGTCACCCAGTGACAGATGAAGGTGACAGCACTCCAGGCCGTGGCCCCAAGGTGCTCAGAGTTACAATCAGAGCCATACTCACTGTGGCTGGCAGGGCTGCCTTTGGGACACCAGAATCACAAAGTCCCTGGGCTGGTGGCCTGCCGTGGGGCCAGAGGTGACGTGGTAGATCTTCTCCTCTTCACTCACAGCCTGCAGCACCTCACACGTCCTGTGAAGACATTCAGCACACCCCTCAGGCCCTGTGTGTGCAACAGCAGCTCCAGCAAACTCAGTGCAAACGGGCTCATCCTGACACTGGACCTTTCATTTTCATGTTCCAGCCGCAAGGCAGAGAGAGTGAAACATTCAGGTTTTCTGCAACACCTCATCAGCACTATTTCTTTATGTTTTGTTTGTTAAAAGCTGTAAATTCAGTAGAGTTTGTAGATTTTCAAATATCCCTAAGGTTCCACCCTCTGGTAAAAATCTTTCAGGATGGAATAACTAACTGAAAATGCTTCACCATATCAAATCAGTATAATTTCAATTCCACTGTCTCTAATCACTATTCTACACCATAAAAGGTAAATAAAAAATCTCAAACACCTTTTAGAGCCATTCCAAAACCTGTTTCAAATCATACAAACTTTCAAACATGTTATTTTTTGAAAATATGTATTTTGAAGGACCCCATTTCTTGATTTCTCACTTTGACCATGAAATTGAGCATCAGTGTCTCCAACAGCACAAATATGAAGGAGTCCAGCTTTTCCCTAATTTTTAAAGCTAGCATGCACAATATATCCACCTCAGTTCTTACTTTAAACTTTTTATTTTTTTACTAGTTTTGGGTTTTTGTCACTTTTAACATACACCTGCCTAGGACTGGAGCTGTGCTTATTTAAGAAAAAGATGACCTCTGTCCTATCCCTTCTTTTGAATGATAGAGAGCGTTCAATTCTTTTGAAAAATACAGTGCACTCTGTATTTTGGAACCAGACTAAGCACAAACCAAACTTTACTTCTACACTAAAAAAAAAAACCAAAACCCATATTTTGAGAAATGTTTGATGTCAAACTCTTACAACACTTTGTTCCTAACGGGGCAGGGTCTCTCAGGAGTGTCTGTGACAGGGAAGAGGGGTGGCCAGGGGGCTCAGAGCCCCAGACAAGGAGGGGGTCTCACAGGAAATGTCTGTCCCAGCGCTGGCGGAGGCTGAAGTTGGACAGGAGGGAGAAGGCCACGTGGGATGGGACCTTCACCTGCATCTCCACCTTGAATGACAGCACAGCACCCTCCTCATGGGTCCAGATTTTCACCTGGGGGAAAAAAAAAAAAAAAAAGGGAGCATGTATTGAAAGCAAAGAATTATTACTGTAAATGTTTAGATGCATAAATGTTACACACTTAGGACTTCAGGCAGATTTTCTCAGGAGCTCCTGGGAAATGCCACATGCCTTTGTCCAGGCAAATCAGCCACACCTTGGCTTAGCCCTCTTGCCCCAAGAGCAACCCAGCACTTCCCTTTCCAAAAGATCCTTATTTTTCTCCCTTGCTCTCTGCTGTGAAGCAGAGCACCCAGAACTAATGATACTTTGAATAACTACTTAAAATCACAGTTTTGCATCTCTTGTCCCACACCTGTACTATCTTGCCTTGATTATTTTGGGTCTATTTCTATTCATAGGCCTAAACCCCAGAACAGGGAATTCAAAAGGAATAGCCTGTACATAGCAATGCACACACAAGAAAGAAGGGTTTGTCACCTCCCACAAACCCCATAAAATGGAAGAGGATGGGCACAACAGAATCTTCAGAATTAGAGGATTTCATTCCCAAATTCATGTGCTTTATTGCCTCTCAAAATCCTGAGAAGTTTAACAGATTTTCATTTCCAAGTGATGCAAAATTCATAAGGTTCATCATCACTGTTGAGGTTTTGTTGTTCTGGTTTTCTTTTTCTGCATCAAAAATGAGCAATCTTTTGTTTTTTCTGCATTTCTACAACAACACAGATTTTGTATTTCTCTGGATTGTCCTATCTTGGAAGAGGAAATAAACCCCGACTTAATCCAGCAAGCACCTTGCTGAAGTAAAGTTTGGTGTAAAATTAAATGCTTAAGAGCTTTAAAAACCATCTACAGGAGGTCTGCATCAATATTTCTCTATGGCAAAGAACAGGAATAATGTTGCTCTAGCAGTCTTCTAGCCTTGAAAAATCACAAAACAAAGCAGGAGGTGCAGCTGTCAAAACACCTCTCTGCTAAGTGAACATTGGCAAGGCTGGATTATCTCTGCAGCCTTACAAGCCTTGTGGTTTTGTGTCAAAGACATCAAGAATGCCATGTTTTACCTTCAAAAACTTCAGCTTGGGGTCATTCCAGTTGCAGGGAAAAGGGAACAAATCTGCACTTTAGGATCATTCCCCCTTGTGCTGTCCCTCTCCAGACTTCTTGTACCTCCCCCTTTAGGTACTGGGAGGTGCTTCAAGGTCTCCCCAAAGCCCTCTCCTCCCCAGGAGGAACAACCCCAGTTGTTGTCTCTGCCTGTTTCCAGGAGCTGGTTCAAGCTTGCTTTTCCCAGCACCAGAGCTGCCTGCTGTTTATTTGGCACAGCAGTGTTTACTGAAATATTTAACCACTGGAACAACCGACACACGGCACTGGCAGCTCTGCCATCACTGGAATTCCTTATGATTTGTATCTGCTCTTATTAAGTATCTTATTGTCTACATGCAAGAGTCTCTAAGCAATGTTCCACAGCCTGCAATGCACAGGAGGTCAGACCAAAACACTGAAAAAATAATTTATTGTCCCAAAACACCTCTGATCAACACGATCTGGAAGTAAACTGCCAGTCACTAACCGTATTTCAGAAACCCAGCCTTGGCAGATGTCTCTCCATTTCCTGGAAAACATGCACTGCAACAGGGTTAGCACCCCGTTTTCCCTTGACTTTCTTCTGCTTTTCCCAGCAGCATCTTCCTCTGCTAGAACTGGTTTACACAAGTGTCCTCACTGATTTTGGGTTTGTAACGCCACTTCACAAACAGGGAGGTGCTTTGCTTCCAGATTTCTATAATTTCATTTCTGCACTTACATTATCCAGAGTCTTGGTTATGTCCCACCCTGGTTTTCCTGCCAGGTGTGTCAGTGCAGCTATGTTGCTGTAACTCAAATATGCCTGAAACACAAGACACGTGTCTGAAAATGGAGGGGTAAAGGTACATTTCACTGAACATTGCAGAGATTAGGTGCTCTTTTTCCCCATCATTATGCTTCAACTGCAAACAAATGTTTATGTTCCTTGTAAGTGAAAACACACTTCAGTAGTTTCTGAATTGAAACACTTCCAGTGGCTTCCTGATGCACTCACATGGCTGTTGGCAAAACAATCTTAATTAAAGGACAACAAAACACTATTTTCAGCTTCTCCAGTTATAAAGCTGTGAAGAACAACTTTGACCACCAGGGAGACAATACAGATAACCTCTCAGACCACTGAATTAATGGTTTTGTCCATCTTCCTCTTAAGCAATTAGAATCTACTCGAAAATTAACCTCTTCTTTGCTACCAAGCTGGGTCCATCTCGGCAATTGTTTTTCACAGCAGGCTCACAAGCAAAGAAAATGCAAATATAGCCATTCTTTATGCTTGGCTACAGTGGATGGAGTTCTCATTTAACCACTCTATAAAGAGAATACAGCCTTAGAGTCTTTATTGACAGGTTTTGATTTCATAGGAAATAAATCTTAACCAAGCAATTTTTATCATTGTGTGCTTATTTACATTTGTTGATCTGCAGAAAAAAAAAAGGGAGAAAAAAGCTGCTTTAGCCACAAAAACTGGACACTGAAACAACATTTAATTAATCTATAAACCCACCTAAATTCAGGTTCAACACCATTCACTGCAGGACATGGACACAGCATGTCCAAACCAGAGACACTTGGTGCAGGGAATCTGAGAATGAACATGATTTCACCTCTCTTTCCACAGATTTGTATTATTTGTACTCCAATGTTCATCTCTCTGGTGCTATCTCTCCCCCCACTTTTAGCACTTACTAAATGGTTTCCTCACTGCAATTTTTCAGACATTCTGTGGCTGGATAAAGACAAAAACCAAAACCCCAAACTACTTCCTCTACAGGAGAATTCAGCCTATTCTGAAGAATAATAAAATTAATTCAGAATTTATTTTGTAACAGCTGGGGACATTGAGGGATAAATCTGCAGGAGACCTTAAGGGACCACTGGTATGCATGTGGTTTAAAGACAATTTTACATCCTTTCTATTGAACTCACTCTTAGAGCAGTAGTGAATCATCTACTCCCTCTTTTTAAAAGAGACATTTCACTGTGTTACACATCCAACCATTCCTCACAACTGCCACAGAACTTCAGAGGGTCCACCTGTACTGCCACAGCCTGAACAGCTGCTTCACACACCCCAAAAGGTGCACAAATACAGCTTTTTATGCACCTACAGATTACCTGGTTGCTTGTCTCCCAGGCATCAGAGGGCTTGTCTCCTTTAGCAGATAGCATGCATTTTCTAAAACATAATTAAAAAGAGACACAGTAGCATAAACTGGTTCTGTACACGTCTGTGTATGCTAGGAAAAATCACTTTCTACAGGCTTAAGTGTCTTCTAAATAGAGGTACTTTATCAATTTTTGGTTTGCAATAACTGCTTTTTCTTTCCAAGAAAGACAGTGAAACACAATAACCTCCAGAGCAAAGTAGTTTTGAGACAAGAAGCCTCTTAACAATTTCAGTGCCACTGAAAGAAAATTATTTGTAAATGTAAGCCATATAACAGTCACATATATGTTAAGGGGAGTTCAATTACTTTATTTAGAGGATTATGAAATTAAGTTTTCAAAATCAAGACCTGCCAGTGACCCAGCTATACCTGGTGAGTAGAATCCTCCTCCTGGCAATGGCTCCGTGGTACCTCCTCACACCATCCTGCATGAAAAGTGAACCAGAGAGCAACAAATCTCATCATTTTACAACAAAGCCTGAAAAAAGACAACTAAAAATTATTTATTCCAGATGGGCAAATGCCAGAGCAAAAATACAAGCAAATAAATAGTAATTGTGCAATGGCCTTTCCACAAGCTAACCCAGGAAAACTAGTGCTTTACTTTTTGCCTTAGCAATATTCTCTGCAATTTGAAAAAAAACAGGGTGATAGAAGAGTTGCATTATTGTAGCATCCTCCAGGTGCTCTTTGGTCCTAAAGCAGTTGCAGCTGGGCAGTGCACCACACACATTCTGCTCTTTCTAAATGTGCCACCCACCAAATAAACTATTAACCTAATTTATCATCATCTGGTGTTTCAAAGCACAAAGGGAAATTATATTTTTCAAAGTCAGTTTCTCCTCTTGGGACAGCCTGCAGTGGGCAGTAGTAAACTTACTGTCCCAGTGAGTACATAAGACACCTTGATTCATTTGTCTGGTTCCCATCCTGATGTTAAAAAATAATTTCATTTCTGCCTACACTGGCTTTCTAAAATTCTTGTAACTGGAACAGGAAGATTAGTGATGGGTGTTAACACAGCAAATAATTCAACAGTAGCATTCAAACTGCTTCAAGTGCTTCATGAACCACTTTCAGGGAAACATGAAATGAGATCTCCATGTCAAAGCAACTGAAAAGCCCACCCACGTCACGGGATTTGATTCCCACAGACTTCTTTATTCACTCTATTTCTCACCTTTGTTAAGAGTTTATAAAAATAACTATTCACTGAATACTCATAAATTTCATCTACAGTCAGTGGAACTTGCACGAGACGCAGACAAGTGGAAAAATCTCCAAACACGTCAGATTTTTCTTCTCCGCCCATCAATCACAGAATCTCTAGTCATGAGGATCCTCCACGGAGCCTCTCACTTTTGGAAGACTAAAGCTAACAATAACAAACCTCTCACTCGAGGGCAAGCACTTCATTTGGAGCTTTTCTCTCCTGCAGGAAGATGCGCTGCAGTGCCCTGCTTGGTCCTTGCCTCCCCAGCAAGGCTGAGGTGCCCACCCCACTGCTGAGAGCTCACCTGAGTAGTGGGCTTGACCCTGGGGAAGGTGAGCAGCTGCCCTTTGTCATCCAAAGCATTGAAAATGAGGAATGCACTGTTAATGTGCCGCGGCTGGTCCTGGATCCACTCCTCACAGTTGTAAGCCTCCACACGGACACCGACCTCCACGCTGAAAGGACATTTAAATGAATCCCTAAACTGCTGCCACTGGTGCAGAGGCAGCCCTGAGACATGCTGGAGAGGACTGCAGTACCTGCAGGTGCGCAGGAAGCCTGCACAAATTAAATACCTTCTGTAAATAATGTAATCAAATACCTTCTGTAGCATAGCAAATCAATTACTCAATCTGGACAGGCACACCTCTGAAATAAAATAAAGGATGGCAGTAGCTAAATAGCATTACCAAAAATAAGCAATAAATAGAATGCAGTCTGTCAATAAATGCCAAGATGGGAAGATCCTGGCAAGAAGCTGGCATCTTCTGAAGAGTCAAATCTCTGGGAGCAGCTCAGCCCTTGAAAATCCCTGAATTTCAGAGGAATATCTATTCTCTGAATTTGCAGGAGTGGGATTTGGTGACAAATGGTCTTTAAAATGAAAGTCAGAGAATAATTTTTTTAAAAAACTCCCACTGATAAAAGTGAAACAAAAAAAAAAAAAAGGCACATAGGGGCACTTACAGATACAGATACATGCTTCAAAGTCCCACCTGAAAAATAATTAATTCTAATGAAAAAGAATTAATTCACTAATGAAAATCCTACTGATGAAACATGAAGCACAAAGTGTAGGCTGGTGCTGGAGATGCCCAGGGAGACAAGAAATGAGGAGCTTTACCTGTTGTGGAAAGTGTTGTTGACGATGGCATTGAAGACCAGGCGGTCACCCACAAAGGACGGCCCCCAGAATTTGAACATGTTAACTGCCTTCAGGATGGGGTGTGACCGACACAGGCGGCTGAAACAGACACACAGACACAGACCAAAACACACAGTTGTGCTAAAAGCACAGCCGGCGTGACTGACTACAGAAACAGGGTTTGCAGGACCTGGAAGGTCACTAAATTACACTGATCTACTCCATGCTACCAAGAGCATGTAACTCGAGCTTCAACCATCATAAGGCCACTTATGTCATGCTGCTTCATTTCCAGCACGTTTTACAAACACCAATTAATTCCCACTGCTTGAGACTGCCCTCTCCTAAAGCCAGAGCATGAATCCTTTACCTACAGAATAACCACTTACCTCACAGTTTCATTAATTTCTGTAGGACTGCATGGGGAGCAGGCTCCTGAGCAGTGTAAAAATGCCAGGCCTTTAAACAATTAAAGGAAACCTGAGCAGAAAGGCTGAGCACTTAGGAACAATGTCCAAGCAATGCCATGTCAAGTTAACTAGTCTTAGTATTTGTACTTTTTGCTTGGTTTTAGATGCTTTCTGCTAGTATGAAATGAGAATAAAAAACCCCTCACACAGCGACCAGATGCAGTCTGTGTAAATAGAATCTTGTTTCCAAGGTCCCTGGAGCAGGCAAAAATCAGGTTTCTTCATCATTTCTGCATGTATTCAAAACCCCTCACTTTCTACTGGGATGTCTGTGCATCACAGGAAGAGGGGACAATTTACAATATATGACATTTATTTTTAGCAACACGCTGCTCTCAGTAAGGAGCCCATGTGCACATCTCGGATAGATTGTTCCATGGTGAAGTTTTCTGAATTTGAAAATACAGTTTTGTAGCACTTCTAGCTTTTAACTCAACTGCACTTTGAAAACTAATGTACCGGTATTTTTAAATGCACACAATTATCTGCAGCTAATTAACTGACTGGTACATCTCTTCAATAGTCTAATACATTTAAATTACTTTGTAATTAAATTAAAATAATTTGCTCCTCTGATTTAAAATGCTAAGCGTTGATTTTATTTACAATGTTCACTCTAAAGATGCAAACACAATAATGATGAGGAGAGGAACAAACCAGAACTCCGGCTTAAATATTCATTTCTTTCCTGGAAAAGTACACCCTGAATGCTGTTATTGAAAATGTAAGGAATAAGAAAGTATCCATCAAGTTCAAGGTAATATTACTAATATTCAAATGGTTTTATTGCTATCTGCACAATCTCATGTATTGACCAAAAAAAGGTGGAGGGTAAGTGAGAAAGAGAGTGAGTAACCTTTAAAATGCCCTTAGAAATATAGTTTTTCAGGCTTATCCCTCCTCTTCAGTTCCTCCATCACAGTTTGTGGCTATAGAAACTCTTACCTGGCACCTTCAGAGGTGGAGTCTAACTCTGAGTGGCCTCACAAAAGGTTCATGGTGAGAGTAGTTACTTCTCAAGCAAAAACTACAACATCTCTGCTTTCAACCAGCCTCTGACACCAGCTGTTATTCCTGAAATTCTCAACATGAGTAATCATGTTTGACATTAATTAGTTTGAAGAAAATTTGTCCAGTACTCCATTTGCTGATGTCTCCCTTCCTTTTTAAAATCTACATGCGACTCCCACAAGGTAAAACTTATCAGATGAAAACAGGTAAATGTTCTGAGTCATATTATGGCAAAAATCTGCAACAGTCCCTTCAAGCCACTGGAATTGCACATGGGGGTAAGGTCAGTGCACTCTGTTGTTACTAAAACAAGTTGTTTATCCAACCACTACAGAAAATCTGTTGTTATCAGTACAGCCACTGGCTACAAATCAAAACCATATGAATAATGAATGGACAAGTCATTTAATTATTAAAGATAAAAAGGGAAAACATATCTAACATCCCTGCAGTGAATTAGGTCACTCAGTATGCAAGGAGAATTCAGACTGAAACTTGAGTGCTGCTTACAAAGAAGCTTTGTGCAGTGTCCAGGAACAGGAAGGGAGACAAACAACGGAGTGACTCCAGGGAAGAGGAATTAAGTGATTATGTGCCTGGGTCACACTGGCAGGCAGCCTCACAGAACATATTTTGTTCTCTTTACCTGAAGATGCCCCAGCTCTTTAAACTGCTAAAATTGTTGCAAGCCATAGGATGTGCAAGTCAGAGGGACTGAAAGGTCAAGTGACTTGCTGAGGGTTATGCATCCATTCGGTGCACACACCAAAAAACAGAGCCTGTTTATGTGGCTCCTTTTTCTCTGACTTATTTTTCTTCTGGCATCACGAGGATCTGCAGATTAAGTTCTAGCAGGATGTTCATTTTCGGGTGTCAATTGATACAGGGTGAGTATTGGTTTGATCCTGGTTGAACAACTAACTTTGTTTCTAAAACACTGCACCAAGCACAAGGAGAGCAGGTTTCTGTTCCTGTATACAATGTTAGCCTTCTGCAAAGATTCCCAGGAAGGTAACACAGCCTCTTTTGCCTTAGGCTCTGTATGTGTAACAGAATAATGTCTGAGTCTCAGTGGCATGGCATGCTGTGGGAGATGTACCACTTAAATAGTTCAAAGGCCTCCTGTAATGTGAGAAGGAAGACAAGTCACAAAGGCCTGGGTCTGTATTCTTCATAAAATAAATCCCTGTGAAACCTTTAACATTAAAAGCACATCCACTTAGAACCACATGCAGAGACAATGCTGTAGGAAAGTACCTTGCTGAAATGCTTGCCACTGTCTGCATCCAAGCCATGATCTGGCCACCAAAAGTGTTTCCATGATGGTTTGCATGAGGAGGCAGGACGAGCTCAGTGCTCTGTACGTGGGTATGCTCAGTTGAAACTGCATCTTTCTCTTCACAAGTATCTGAAACAGAGCAGCAACGCATCAATGAATGCTTTCAGAAGAAAGCACACCCCGTGAAGAGAGCAGCTTGTTCAGACTCAGCAAAAAGAAGACAAACAGAAAGGCACAGAAGAGCCTTGTGGTTTGCAAGGGAAGCAATAAGAAGCTGAACATTTTCTCTGTTCTCCCAGGAGCTGCTGCTGCCAGCCCTCAGTACATCCCCACATCCCTGTCAGGGGCAGTTCTGTGTCCCTGTGTCAGGGGCAGTTCCTGTTGTCAGGGGCAGTTCCTGTCCCTCTGTCAGGGCAGTTCTGTGTCATTTTGTCAGGGGCTGTTCTGTGTCAGGAGCAGTTCCTGTTGTCAGGGGCAGTTCTGTGTCCCTGTGTCAGGGGCAGTTCCTGTTGTCAGGGGCAGTTCCTGTCCCTCTGTCAGGGCAGTTCTGTGTCATTTTGTCAGGGGCTGTTCTGTGTCAGGAGCAGTTCCTGTTGTCAGGGGCAGTTCTGTGTCCCTGTGTCAGGGGCAGTTCCTGTTGTCAGGGGCAGTTCCTGTCCCTCTGTCAGGGCAGTTCTGTGTCATTTTGTCAGGAGCAGTTCTGTGTCTCTTTGCCAGGGGCAGTTCCTGCAGGGGAGCAGCAGCTGCAGCCCCAGTGTGTGCTGGCTTTCAGGGGCTGTCAGAGCAGTTCAGCACCGACTCAAATATCTGTCAAAGACTCTGCACTGTGTGTGATGGGCACCTGTACAGGTGTGTTGAATTGAGATTAGAGCAGGATTTCACCTTGTTACAAAGTTTATAATTGCCTGAGACAACACCTGAGTGAAATGACTGAAATGAGGATCTGAACCACCTTGTATTAAGTGAGCATTTCTGATGTCACTTCCAAGTGTTTAGCCTTGCATCCTCACTCTAATCTCAATTCTTTTCAGTGGTGTTTTGCAGGAAGATTTGGTCATGAGATTACATCAAGTAATTTTAAAAGTGCCTATCTGTCGTAGGAGCTGCTTGACCTGAATTGTACTTTTGACTTGTGGCATAATTAGCTAACTTTGTGATTATGTAAGCGTGTGGAAACATATGACTAACTTGTCCTTTGGACCTACTCAAGGTGCTCCCTAAGATCCGCTGGTCAAATAAGCCTCACTTTCAGGGTATGATTTGTACATATGCTGCTACCTAGCAGCCTTTACACACAATGTTCTCTCTTCTCCCACTCTGCTTGCTCCGTCTCCTTAAGGAGGTGAATTAGTGCTACAATAATATCCTTCAAAGAAGTTTCCAGGAAAGGCAGTGGAGACAAAACCCATCCACCTCTGATTTGTCACTCAGGTTATTAAACTGTACCCTGTGAGACAGTTACCATGAAGACAAATAGCTTGTTTTCTTGTACCAAACAAGACTCTTCAGTTCTACAAAGTCTTACTAAATTGTTAAGGTTAGATCTTTGTTTATAACAGGTTTAATCGCTCCTCAGAAAAACCACATAATGCCTGTTATTTATACATGGAGCTACAGCTCAGATTTTCCAAATACCAGCATATTTTCCTAACTGCTCTGAGTAATTTCTTTTGTGAGGGAACACAACAACTTACAAGCACAACTTTCTTTAAGAACAAAAATTACTACCATAAATAAAGAAGAACCTGTTTCTTCGTTCAGTTCTTCTAACTTTTTAACCTGTCTTGACCTCCACGTAATGAAAGTTCTGCTTGTTGGAAATCATCTCAAGGCATAAACACAGTTCTTCCTTTCCTTTCTGGCAAAGACATGGCCATGAGCCTGAGTGAATGTCATGCTGCTGTCTACATCACAACTATTGTCACAGAAGTTTATTGCTGTGTTTATTGCTGAGTTCTGTGTGACCTGTGAAACCTCACACACAGAACCACGTGAAGATCTGCATTTCACATCTATTTAATGCACGCCTGGCCTTCAACCCTGTGTTTTTACATCTGGAATTTCTGAGAGACAAAGAAATGCCACTCTGTTAGAATAACTGGCTAGCACACCTCTGGCACCTCTATCCACAAATCTGGCACAGACTTTTCTACCTGGCACCACAACCCCAAGGAGATGTTTTGCCTGCTTTTTTCCTTCCTTCCAGCTGCCCATGAGTGTTTGTTCCACCTTCTGTGCTGAGTACAGAAATCACCTTCCTTATTGCTCTCCTGCATCAGCTTCTGAAAGACTTGGACATAGCCCAGACGAATTCTTCTCCTCTCAATAGCCAGGCTGTGCTCCAGGTGGTCTTCTGCAGACAGAAGCTGTACAGGTTTTAACTCAACCTGTGCAAATGGAGAGGAAAAAAATACAACAATTCGGAATTTCACAATCGTAACAAAGCGCACTTTGAACTTAAAATGGCATCAGCATTTTCTACAACTTTTTCCTATCAGCTGTCCAAGATGACAAGTTTAATAATACAACTAACACACAGTATAAAGTTCAAGAGATTCTGCATTATCCTTTCAGAATCATTCATTAAAACCCAATGAGGAAGTGCTTTTAGCTTATAAATACAACCATCCATGAGAGCACACAGTGTTTAAGATAGTTCTCATTTAAGAAAAAAAATAAATGAAAAAGTCAGGAAAGGATGAACTTAATATGAAGGTTTGAGGATAGAATTTTTGAACCAGAAAATAAATTCAGTTGCACTGGTCTGTGGCGTCAGTGCAAATTCCCATGTATTTCAGTTCAATGACAAACTGCATCCAAACCAAATGCAGTAATTTTAAGAAAATTACTACGTTTGGATAATTACACCCCAGGTGACACTGAGCAATCACTTGTGAGGTTTGTCTACAAGGCTTAGCCTCAGAGGCGTTAAAATAATGCACAAAGCAGTGCAGCACAGACAAATTCGACATTTTGTGTCTTGCAGTGCAGCCACTAATGTTTCCCACCCTTTGACTCTTCCCTCTAACCCTCCTCCAGATTCATTGTCTCCTTTCCAGTCCTTCTCAAGAGCTTCCTAGATTTTCCCATGTGGCCCAGTTAAAAAATTAAGATGGTGGTTATATTGACATTCTCTCTGTACAACCTTAGAAACAGTTGTTCAGAAAAGTGGATTTGAAAAAAAATATTATTCAATGTCTCTGATATTTTAGTTTGTCATGGAATTTGAACTGAACTCTCAAACTCCCCCTGGGACATTCCTGTCTTAAGCCTAATCTTAGTTAATCATCACCAATTTAATCCTGAATTAATCTCCCCAGAAATTTAGGCAAAAGGTAAACAGGTTTATGTTATGAGTATGATATCAAACTAGTAACAAACAACTCCTGATAATATTTTAGTGCTATCAGGGTAGAAATTTAGCCATTAGCCCTTCAGAGACAAGAGCTGGGCTGTAGTTTTAGTAAAACTGCTCCAGTCTGTTTCTTCTCCCATCTGTGGCACATCCTCACAGAAGAGAGAGCAGTAGTGACTGGATGTGTTAATTGCTCATGGGATGACTCTGCCAATCTCCAGTGGATGTTTAACAGCCAGATGTGCTGTCATAACCCATGCAATGAGACAGGAAAGTCAGATCCATGATGTCACATTCAAGAAAGCAGAATTTTACATGCAAAGGGAGTTTTTTTAAGAGAGTCTGAGGCATGCTTGGCCTTCCCTACAAGAAAATTTTTTAAAAAGACTGTGCCTGTCTGGAACAGTGATGTGAAGGCCAATGGTACCATGACTGATTTCCAAACACTGGAGAGAAGAAACAGTCCTGGCGTGAAAACCAATCAACACAAATGGCAAAGAACCAATTTAGATTGGAAGTGAGCTTAAAAATAATGTCTTGTGTCTGAGCAGTGGTGTCTGAACAACCTCCCCAAGGAGGGAAGTGAAGGATAAAAAAGCCCACCCTGCAATCCATTTCTGAAAAGGAGAGAGACTCACAAGGATCTCCCTTCCACTGCTTGCCTCTGTCAATACTGTAGCCCTCACAAAGACCTCACTTGTATAATGAGCAAATGTGCAAAAGGAAATGGAAATAGAAATAATAATAATAATAATAATAATAATAATAATAATAATAATAATAATAATAATAATAACAATGACAGCAACAGCAACAACAACAACAACCTAACCATTTCAGAGAAGCAAATTAGAAATAAACCCCCAGACTCTATCTCATAAAGTCTGAACTTCATGCTTTTTTCCTATCACTGATCACAACAAACAGTGCTTCTGCTGTGTTTCATAACCAGAAAAGTTGGGTTATTTCACAGAAACTCCAGGCTTAGGAGAAAGCAGGAAAAATACCTTTCCACCACCAACTGGTTTGGCCACATACGTTGCATGTGCCACGCTCACAATCTTTTCAGCATTAGTCAAAACATCCTGTACTGTCACCTTGATGCCAACCTACAAGGAAGAAGATGGTGGAGGCAGGAGACAGAAATGGTATTTACATCATTGTCAGCTGGTTGGAGACAATACAGTGCAGTTTTTATCAGTCCCTTACACCTAAAGGGAAAAGGTAAAAAACCTGCTCCAGTCACTGATACATCTCTTGTCATCACAATATTCAGTCAGCTCTGAAAGGCTTTTTAGTACCACAATTTTTATGTTTGTTCAGCATCACTTGTAGGGTAAAATTACAAAAACAGGAAAGACACTTAAATGTAGTTTTATGGATATTTCCTTCCATTTTCTTCTGTGGCATTTGGAGTCCCCATCTGAATTAGTTTCTAAGATCTGTACATGCAAAAAAAGTGTGTTTAGGGGTGAAAAGCACAATCAAACACTTGAATGTGAAACACTGGATTCGATTCTGTGGAATAGGCCTGACACACATCAAAATTCTGATTTTTTTCTAATTTTTAGAAACTTTTGGAATACATTACCTGTGAGATGCATCACTCTCATCAATAATAATGGGAATTGGACACAGGCACAATGCACAAAAAGCACCCCCAAAGTTCAGTTCTGATTTGAAGTGATCAGGCAAGGCATTGCATACTGACTGCAGTATGAAGAATAAGATCATGTGTGCACCTGAGACACGTACATTTGTATCATAAGTTTCAAAAATGCTTTGAACTTCACCTGTTCTGTGGATCTGGCCTGGACCAACACCACCTCTCCCATCCTGCCCACTACACCTGCCAAAGGCCTCAGTTCTTCAGGGCCCAGTTGCTTCTCTGGCATGGATCATTTCAGAGGAAACACACAACTGTAACACTCTGAAAGCAGTGCCATTAGGCACTGTTGTTGTCCAGATACCTGCAAATACCTGGAGCAAATACACCTGGACCCATGCTGTGCTCCTCTGCTGCTCCCACCTCTGCTCTATTCCTTCAACATCTCTAGAAAAAAGAGTGCTGATCTCTTACCTCCATGCTGGTTTTGAATGCTCTGTTCACCTTTGTTCTGATGGCAATAATTTGTCCAACCCTGTTAAGAAGAGTAAGACCTTATAGCAGGCAAGCATGCAGCTTTATAAGGGCTTGAATCTGCCTCTCTAAAAGTCATGAAGAATATCTCATTAATTAGGCTGTGTCTTCCATGCTGCACTGAAAATCCAGTGAAAAAAGTGAATTTTTCACTGCGTTCAATTCAACACCATTGTTCTCCAGTCAGACTTGGTCAATAAAATTGCAGAACTGCAGAACCTTAATGGCAACATCCTTTCTCTCAGCTGGTGTCTGAATGGCAGCAGGTGTGCTCAGGTACAGCCAGGAGTTCTGGCTGCTGCTCACAAGCACACCCTGCACACATCCCTGAGCTCCTGCAGCTGCAGGAGCACTCAGATGCTCTCCTCCAGCACCACAGGAGTGTGCACACGGGGAGATAACCCCAGGGAAAAAGTGCTCTTGGGCATCTTTAAAGGATGGGGACAGAGCTCATGTTCCAAGTCTTGGCCAAGAACAGGACTGCTTGTCCCTTCTGTGCTAACATCATCCCTCTGAAAAACCTCTCTTCCTCATTTACCTACATAAAACAACTAAACAGAATTTTTACTTTATTATCTAGTAAAAATTCTAGAGATTCTAGATTACTAGTTAATTATCTAATGTGATTTCATTATATTATCTATTATTTTTACTATATTTTAATTTTTTATTATATTATTTATTTTATTCTTTATTACCTTTTAAATTCTCCTTATTATGTCATCAAAACAAATTTAAACGAGGAGGCATTTTCTTCCCTTCTGGAATTCCTAAAGCACATGCTCCACGTTGAAAACAGGAGCAAACGTTGTTTCCAAACCCCTCGAATCCCAGCCCTAAGCAGTGCTGAGAGGGTGGGAGGAAGGCAGTTTGCCCTCAAGTTTTCCCAGTGAGCAGGAGTGAAAGGACACAGTGTGCAGGGTAAGGCAGAGCCACAGCCAAAACAGAAGGGTGTCAGGCCACTGCCTGCAGGGAATTCAAACTGAGCTACAAATGCTAAAGAGCAGCCCCGGGGCAGGAAAAGGGGAGCTAAAGACAGCCAAGACTGAAGTAAAATGTAACTCAGAGCTCTTGGGTACTGACAAAACATTCACAGCAAAGGATTTTGCACAGTTATTACCCCATGTTCTTATTCTTATTCTTATTCCATTCTTCTTCTTCTTCTTTTTCTTACTATTATTATCATTATATAATAATAATCATCATCATCATCATAGTTGCTTACTAATGTAAATGAATTAAGTTGGGACATTTAAAGGTAAAGGCTTCCTTAAATTGCATATTCCACTGCAGAAGTAGAATGGGAAATGGGAAATAGGAAGCCTGCTCCTCCAGAGGACCTGACAGGAACAACAAACTGCACAGCAATTTTCTCTTTCTTGTTCTCACCCAAGAACCCAGGTGGAGTCCTTTGGGTGGGTAGGGAAGGGGAAATGGTCAGAGCAAAGAACCAAGACCAGCTGCAGGTGCACAGCCCTCATTAGCTTCTGCAGAAGATGCTCAGAATCATCTCAGAAGTTTTTCCATTATTTATTGCAAAGAAAAAGCAGATCTGTTTAGGCAATTGTTCCCAACTGCACAGCTAAAGGAGCCACCAGCTCCCTCCCAGAAAGGAGAGTGCTCAGAGCCACAGATTTGCAGGGGCACAAGTCACACAGCACCACACTTCCACTTAAAACTGTCAGAAATGTACCAGAATGAAGGGACTATCATTCACATACAGAACACTAACAACATTTAAATAAATGCAGCTTAAAATCAGATGTGTCAATTTAAATCAGCAGTTCAGTAATACACTGAACTGATGTGTATTGCAAGAGAAGGAAGAGGTTATCATGGTATAAAGCTAAGTTTTGAACTATACAGATGTGTGACAATTTCTCTTTACATCTCAGCTGAAATAAACACAGAAGGCTTAATCCCTGCAGAAGATTTAGTAACCTGGTTTGGGTAAATAAACCTTAATCCACTTACTGAAAAAACATTTTATTAATTTACCGGAGAGAGAAGCAAGAACTCTCTTATTTATGCAAGACATTTGTCTAATGAATTGGATGTGGCAAAATTTAGGAATTTGCACAGTAAGCTACAAGAAGGATGTTAGTGGATGACGTGGCAGAGAAAAATAATTTATAAAATAATTTCTTTCACAGTTACAAGATTGCTACTTGAAAATCTTGTTACAAATGGAATATTGGTATTGCAAGTGAGAGAAGAACTAGAAATATTCAGAAACAACTTTGGAAGGAAAAGTATTTTCATCATATTCCAGAAGCTCTGTTCTGCTATCATGAAACAAGACAGAAAAGTGCTCTGAAGCTACTAACTCTGAGCTATTACACCTGAAAGGGAAACATTATCCTAACTTTGATTAGTTTTTACATACAGGATTTTTTTCTAAGGACAAAATTAAAAAGACAGAGCAAATCAAGGCAGGACAAACACCTCAATCTTGTGAAACAGACCAAGAAATTATCTTTTGAGTTCCAGAACTGGCATGATGGTGTTCTCCTTTGTCACTGACTTTAGTTCTTACTCTAATGGGCACTGCCCCAACAGTCTCAAGTCTGAGTGGATGTTTCTTTTACACTTATGAATGGTATTTAACTGCCATCAGCTGCACCTCTGGCAGCCAGTGCTGGTGTGTTCACAGCCACAACAACTGCATGTGCTCCCTGCAACCAGGTCTGTCCCATCTAACCACTCCTTAATTCCTAGATTGCCCTGTGTAAAACCACACAAAACCCACAAAGTAATGGCCGTAGGTTTCTGTAAAGGTATGGTTTAGGAATAAAGGGCCCATTTCCTCTTACAGAGTCTTTTATCCCACCATGAAAAATGGCAAAACAAGTTCAGTCCTGTGTTATCCCGTAGACTCAGTTAATTCAGTGCTCAGTGAATGCAAAACATTTATCTTTTTTTATAAAACAGCTGAAAGAGAAAGATGTTAAGAAGTGAACCGAAAGAGACCTTGCAGCAATAAAACCACTGCTAACAGTAAGTTTCATAGGTAGTATTGCTTATTTAACAGAGATAAGCAGTGGCCTGCAGCCAATCCCCAGAGCCAGAGACCACTGGGCCATCTCACCAGGCATCTCAACTGCCAGGTGAAGTGAACGAGAGTTTATTTCTGCCCTGTGACATGGATCTGCTCTCTGGGTGGGTCTGGCTATCACAGGTAGAAAAGAGCAGCTTTGAGACTCAGCCCTCTGGCTGTGCTGAGTTGTTCACAGGTCTGCTCTCTCCCGTTTTATAACGCCCCAGTTTATCTCTGCCAAATTAGAGTCTGCAGAAGGGAAACATCTGACTGTTGTCAGCTGGTTTGTACCTGGCAGCCTCTTCAAACTGAATGTCATCCATGGACGCTGTCACGCAGGACACCCCAGCATGTTTCTCAGCTTCAAAAGAGACACAGGGGCACACAGTTATCACTCTGCACCTGCAGGCAGCTACTCACCCGTGGGCTGGTGCCTGACAGGCAGGGACTGCACGCAGCAGGTCCCTCTTCCTCCTGTGAGCACCAAAATGCAACTCTGCAGTGCGCCCCTTAGGAAAAAAGAGAAGCTAAATAAGATTAAAGTTTACATTGTTTTGGTCGTGATTCTGTTGTGAAGGGTGTGTTTGTATTTATGGGTGACATCAGGAGACGAGACTAGATGATAGCAACTATCTTACTCAGTTTGAAAACTTCCACCTAAGGTCTTTTTCTAAAAATGAACATTCTGGTAAGAGAGCCTTAACAAGGATTTTGAATGACAGAAAGAGTCACGAAGTGTTACCAAGCTCACAGAAAGCTCATCTTTCTCCCTCAAAACAATATGTCAAGAGCATCAGCTAGGGCAATCCAGTGGGGAAGTTTTATGTCAGCTGAGGATTCTGAGATCCAGGAGAAAAAACTACTAATTAGTAGGTAAAAACCTTAGCTTATTAGTGCAGTCACAACAGTGGAAAGCAGCTAAGTACATGCCCTTAGTGCTACACCAAAAATGTAGGAATTAAATAAAAACAAACACAAACAAGACTTAGAAAATTCAAAACCCAAATTCACCCGCTGTAAAATATTTTCACCTAAATTTGAAATGTTAGTCATCTCCCTGGGGTACATTTGGCTGTGAAGAAGAGCACACGCTTTTCGTATTAATTATGAGAGCTAATCTGGAACAGGTAAACATCCTATTTACTGTTAATATTTAATCACCTGATAGTTAAGTTTTACAGCAAGTTAATATGATATATTATTTATTTGACCATAGCACCTAGGGCTTCCAGCCAAAAGGTAGATCTGCAATGTACTAGGAGCTGTATAAACACAGAGAACCTCTGCTCCAAACCCCTGAGCGATAGAGGCAAGAGAGGGGACCAGCAGGAGGCCTGGAGAATAGCACTGCACAACAGGCAAGAGCTCTCACCCCCCGGCAGCCCCGTATTTTTAGCGAGCATCACACGAGGAGCTCAGAGAAACCAGAGGTTTTGTATCAAAATCTGAAGACCTCCCTCTGAAAATAACGAGCGGAAAGCACAGCCTCTGCCCCCTTCTGAGGGTCAGAACACCGAAGGGCTGGAACGGAATCACTCCCTCACACACCCGAGAGAGGAGGCGTGCTTCTTTCGGGGGATGCGGGTGCGACCCGCGCTCGGTCAGGGGCAGGGGCAGGGCCAGCCCGGCGCCCCGGCACCCCGCACGCCGCCAGCCGCGCTCGGCACCGGCTGCTGAAGCTGCGGCACCGCTGCTCGCCGCCAGGCTCTCGCCGCGCCTCCCCCGCGCTCGCAGCGCTCGCCAGTCACTCGTACGAGCTGGCGACGGGGTTTAGAAGCGTTGCAAGGCGAGATACAGGCAGGCACGGAGTGCTCCGCACGCTGGCTGGATTTGTGTTTCACAGAACCACGGAATCCCAGAATAGTTAGGGCTGGAAGAGTCCTCTGGAGACCATTTAGTCCAATCCCCTGCCAAGACAGTGGCACCTTTCCTTCTTTTTGGCACACAAGTGCCAATGATCTTAAATTAGTACTTTCCTTCCTTCTCTTGCTTATCTTTTACCACCTCTTTTCTTCCCTTCTGCTGCTCCTTTTTAAAATTCTCCTCATCCTCACATTCCCACCACCTTCCTCGCTCTCCCGTGCCATCTGACGCCTCACCCTCGTGGTGTCTGTTCCTAACTGGACCCCAAATCTCCTGGGCTCCTCGAGAGAGACGTGGAGCTCCTGGAGTGGGTCCAGTGCAGGCTACCAGAACGACTGGGGGACTGGAGCATCCTCCTCATGAGGGAAGCTGGGTCTGCTCAGCCTCGGCAAGAAATGAGTGAGAGGGTCCTTCATACCTTTTGGACATGTACAAATGTCCAAAAAAGGTGTCAGAGCATGGATCAGGCTCTGCTTGGGGGTGCCCAGCAATGCAGCATGAGGCAAGGGGCAGAAAATGATGCCCTGGAAGTTCCATCTGAACATGGAGCTGTGTCAGGGTGGACATGAGGGAAAGGTTCTTCCCCCAGAGGGTGGTGGGGCACTGAACAGGCTCTGTCAGAGCTCCAGGAGGGTTTGGACAGCACCCCACGGATGCCCAGGGTGGGATTGTTGGGGTGTGTGTGCAGGGCTGGGGTGGGACTGGGTGTTCCAGTGGGCCCCTTCCAGCTCAGGGGATTCTGTAATTCTATGATGAAGAACTTTTTCAGAGACCACTGAACACTCTGCCCAGAGGGGGTGTGGAGTGGAGCTCACCTGTCCCGTCCCAGCAGTGTCTGTACGATCCCGTGTCCCGGGCTCTGAGGCGGGACAGGATGACCACTGTGGCCCCTTCCACCCTGCCCGGTGCACGCTCCAAAGCCCTCTCGATGACACCTTCCCTTCAGCCTCCCCCAGGGCTGGGACTGTCCCCTCCCGCTCCCGGACGAGCAGGGGCCGGGCCCCGCTGGCCGTACCTGCGAGGCAGGCGGCGGCGTCCATCCATTGCAGCAGCGGCCCCGCGCCCAGCTCCCCGCGGGGCCCGGCGTGGGCCGGCAGCACGGCCCGGCACATGTACACAGCCATGGGGGAACGCTGCCCGCTCCGCTCGGCACCGCGGCCAGCGCCCGCCGCCGCCTCCGCCTCAGGCAGGGGCGGGACCGGCCCACCCGGCGCCGCGGCATGGGGCGGAATCGCCTCCGCCGGCCTCCCGCGGCAGCGGGACGGGCTGAGGGGAAAGGGGGCCCGGGGTGAGGGGAAAGGGAGCCCGGGCTGAGGGGAAATGGAGTCTGGGACGAGAGAAAAAGGAGCCTGGGACGAGGTAGCCCGGAGTGAGGGGAAAGAGCCCGGGATGAGGGGAAAGGGGGCCCGGGCTGAGGGGGAGTCTGGGACGAGAGAAAAAGGAGCCTGGGACGAGGTAGCCCGGAGTGAGGGGAAAGAGCCCGGGGAGACGGGCAAGGCGTGGCCGGGATTAGGGAAAAGGGATGCTCGGTATGAGGGGAAAGGGAGCCCGGGTTGAGGGATTAAGGTGTACCTGGGATGAAGGAAAGAGTGGGATGGGGCTGAGGGGAAAGCAGGGCCCGGGGTGAGAAGAGAGGGCGTGTGAGGATGTGGGGCCAGGGGTGAGGTGCTGAGGGGAAGAGGGTGTCTGGAGCTGAGGGGATAGAGGTGGCAGGGGTGAGGAAAAAGGGATGAGAATAAGGGGGTGTTGGGGATGAGAGGGTGGATGCCAGTGCTGAGGGGAATCATGGAAGGAAATTTAGAGCCTTCCCAGTGCCACCCCTGCCATGGCAGGGACACCTCGCAGTGTCCCAGTGTCCAGCCTGGCCTTGGGCAGTGCCAGGGATGCAGGGGCAGCCCCAGCTGCTCTGGGCACCCTGTGCCAGGGCCTGCCCACCCTGCCAGGGAACAATTCCTCATTGCCAATATCCCATCTTCACCTACAATCTCCGTTTGAAGCCATTCCCCCTTGTTCTGCCACTGCCTGCCCTGGTACAACGTTTCACCATCTCTCTTTAGACCCTTTAGGTACTGGAGGGTGCTCTCAGGTCTCTCTGCAGCCTTCACCTCTCCAGGCTGAGCAGCTCCAGTGAAGGGGGTGCTGGTTGTGTCCAGGGCACCAGGGACTGGATGTTCCCTCCACTCCTGCCCCAGGACTCCTGAGGTCACCTCACGGCCTGGCAGCAGCCACAGCTAGGTTTGGTCTGTCCACCGTCACTGAAATGCCTCAAAACTGGCTCATACTTTCATTTGTATTTCTCTTTTGGAGTCGTGCCCTCTCGTGTTGTCACCAACTTGACATCCCAGCAGATGCATCCAGGGCAGACATGCTCCCATTCCAAAGGCAGCAGAACCACTGGCACTTCCAGCATGGATGTCTGGATTCCCACCTCTGTGGCCACGGCCCTGGTCACGTATTCCTACACGAGTCAACAGCTTGAGAGGCCACAGAGAGCTCCTTCTCTTACCTCCTCCTCCTCACACGGCTGGTAAGGATACTGCTGCCCCCGCACACTGTGGAAGTACAAGCTCTGCTGAGGAAGAGCTTCTGAGCTGTCAGGAGGGTCAAGGTTTTACTTTTGCCATGGATACAGTGTTATTCGTGCTGAAGGCTCAGCCATTTGGGGGATGCTCAGTGCCTGGGCTTGTCAGTGTTGGTGAGGCAGATGTTTTACTGCAGTGTAGCAGAGGGTATCAACTGTACATGGTTTCCAGGAAAGAATGCAAGGCTTATATTTGACTATTGTGCCGTGTGGTTTCACTGCAGCACCAGGACTGTTTTCTGTAGCCCTTCCTTACAACCCTTCCTCCTGGAAGTTACTGCTCCGGAGAGGGCTTCCCATGTTTCTCAGAAACATACATGCATGAGTTTACATCGTGAACACTTGTTCATTTAAACATTGTTAAAGATCCAGCTTTAACCTATAACAGCCAGGAAAATTTGAATTTTAACTGAGTTTCTCAGTGCAGTAGGGGTTCTTTTCCCACACGGTCTGTTACTGTCACTGCACTGCTATGGCACTATCTCTGTTTCTATGCACATACTCTTTTTATCAAGCAACACCATGGCTGTATCATCTCACTTGTTACACTTCAGAAGATACTGGCTCTGAAACTCAGCATGTTGTGCTATTCCCTACATTTATTTTCATTCTGTTTCTTAAAAAAAAAATACTGGTCTCTCTCTCCTTCTCTGGCTTCTGTGAAGGGAAAAAACAGACTGTCATGGCAGTGAGACACCTTGGCCTTGCTATCTGAAGAGAGTATGTAAAAGGTTTGAACCCAATTTCCTCAACTGCTCAATCCAGATGACAAAACCTCAAATTATCAGTTTCTCACACTGTGGATCCTAAATGCTAGAAGAAAAGGTCTGTTAAGAGAACTCAACATTTTCCTCTTAAAAAACCCCCATTACATTACATCTTGCCTGCCTAGGCCAGTAATTTGTAAATTTGTTTTCAGGTTTACCTTGCCACGCTCAGGCATTCTCTAAGATAATGCTGCTTGTTGTTCTGTTGAACACAGTCCCAGTGATCAGGTGCCTGGCCTGCTATAGATCTCTTGTTTGCTGTGAGATGAGGGAGCTACAAAGCTGCTGGAGTCACAGGGGGGCAAAGCAAAATCGAAATCTGCTCACGTGAACAACCTGCAGCGTTGGGGTGAGGGGAAAGGGGAGCAGCTGGAGCAAGGGAAAGCTGCTGTTTCAGAATCACACCTCTGGTGTGCACAAAGCTCTTGGCCTTCGGGATTCATTCAGGGGGTGTCCTGTGGGGAGCAGGGATACAAATAAGCAGTGCCCGTGGCAGACACACCTGGGCAGTGCAGCCAGGGAACTCACACTCTAAAATGAGCTTTCTCAAATGATTCTCTGCTTTCACAAGCTGCATTTACTGTGCCCTCCAGCTACAGGAGATAGAAGCTAAAGGAGCGTAATGGACTGCAAAGGAACCACTGAAGCTGACTCCTGTAGTTCCTTACAGAGTCTCCATTGGACTAAAACAGTGTTTTACAGCTTTTGTTGCTCAGGTAATATCTGCCTAGTCTTACTGTTTGCCTCTCACTGCTGAAAAAGAGAAATTAAGCTGCTGGCACCAGTGTGGCAGTTTCATTTTGAAAGCAGGTAGAAGCATCAATTTCGTGTAGTGGTTTTGGTTTCTTAATTTGAGATTTTACTAATTTTGAGATTTCCTGGCTGAGGTACCAAAGAGTGTGGTGGGTTTGGTGTTGGTTAACTATGAGTGTAGTTCACTAATAATGGTTTCCCACCTTCTGTGGCACAGCTAGAGCAGCACCTGTGGCATCATCAAGGTGCTGTACCTAAGGCACCTTTGTGGAAGCGCCTTTTGTGCATCTTTTCCAGGTAATAAATGACAAGCTCAGTCTTAGATGTGAACGTATGTGTGAAGTAAAGCCATTAGAGCTAGCAAGATGTGCTCCAAAATGCACAGTTTTGGGAACGTTTTAGACACAGATGTCAGCTACTGCAGTAAATCAGCTGCTGTACAGAGCTGTGCATTTCTGTAGACAGCATACTTCTACGTTCTAGAAACAAATGTATTACTGCCTGAAGTTATAAATGTTTTTTGTATGCTTCTTTCATAACCCTAGTTATTTATGGAAAAAAGGTGTTTGGTTGTGGGGTTTTTTTGGGACACAGCTTGTGAAAATACAACTACTTCTTGTAAAATGAAACTTTATTCTAAAATGTATCCAAAATTGCAAGACACAAGCACCATTAAACAGATAAATAGACATATATTTATATACAGAGAGCATCAAAACACAAAACAATTGTTAATATAATTCTTATACCATTTTAATGAGTATCCATCAATAAAACTTTACAATTTAAAGGAGACTTTTCAGTTGCAAAACAGTTGTAAAATCATATGTATAAATTATGTTTACTACAATTCCAATAACAGAGGCAAAGTAAAATACAAAAATAATAATCAATACTGCAAATTCAAATACAAACCCCAAAAGTAATGCTGCACAGGTACGTATGTACACTGGATGAATTCATGCAGCCAGGCAGTGCAACAAATTAACTGCTGAGTTTAACTTATCACAAAATGGAAACCACCATGTCGAAAAACAGAAGAAAATATACTTTTGTAATAAATCATAGTGCATTTTGAAGTTAGACTTTATAAAATGATTGTTGAGTGATATACTTCTAATATTCCCCATGTGATCTGAGATCCCCCCAACTCCTTTTTTCACAAAATAAAATACAAATGACAAAAGCTAAAAACCCCACTGTAGAACAGAGTCTGATGTACTGGTACCATCTTGAACGCATTTGTTTTAATTCTCGGTATCAGACTTGTTTGCAAGTGTCCATGTCCACAGGGACACGAGTTTTTCCTTGCTACCAGGAGTAAATCTTTCACGCTCCAATGCTATCTCCATAAACTGCATCTCACACGATGCTTAGACTGCACTGGTTTGAAGAGACACAGCTGAGCCTTGAAAAAAGAACCCTTAAATCCCTATGAAGCACAGAGAGAGTAAATGGAGGATAGAGAGACCTCATTATTCCTGAAGCTCCTATCCCTAATTGCTTTAATTACATAAACAGAGATTAACATAAGAGGCTTTTATGGCTTGGGTGAAATTTCTGCTAATTTGCTGGGCAAGTGCGAAGCCCGTGTCTCTCCACAGGGCTTTGCCTTTCACAGTGCAGAGGGCTACAGACTCTTTTGGTTGGTGAATGGAAGCCTCGGATTAACTATATAGAAAAATACCTCTGCAGTGAAAATGTGGTAAAGAAACAAAAACTCAAAACAGAACCTCTGGTAAACTGTGACTTCTTGTGTAACAAAAACATGGCTGTCACCTTTCAGGTCTGTGTTGGTTGGTATAGCATGAACACGTAGATAAAACTGGTTAAGTGTCAAAATTATATGAGATACAATTACACAGTCTGACACTTTTTTTCTTAAAATCTTAAGTGATAAGCACGCTCAGTGTTTTCACTAGGAAGTTACTGCTAAAATGCTACATTTCGTTGCTGAAAAGACATTTATAGCAGCCTGTAAACTACTGAAGAGTTGCTTCCTGCATCCTTTGTGCTTCCAAAACCCCCCTTTGAGCCATCACTAACTTCTGAGTTAATGGGAGTTTTGAGCAAAGAAGGGATGCGGAAAACCACCTGTATTGGGTAAATAATGTAGCAATTTACACAGCAGCTCTTCAGATCTTCCAACATGCAAGCACGTGTAGAGAGAAGCTAAGAGACAGCATGCACTGCAGTGTTATGTCATTGTGCTTATGTCTGCTGAGGGCACTATGGCATTTTCACTCAGAAAAACAGAAATGTTAGCCCCAGAAGACTAAAAGAGCCAATATTAATGAAGCCATCAGCTACCGTTGCAGTAAAGAACACCCCAAAAGAGGGAGGAAGTTCATCTGCTCGTAGCGTATACATACTGAAGCTGAAGAGAATTACAAAGGCACAATACAAGCCTATATTTCTGGTAAATTATATATATTCATAAATTTCTGCTCATACCACCTCAAGATAGTGAATGGTACAATAATAACTGAAGGTACAAATGTTAATTGAAAGTGAAGCTCTACAAATAAAGGACTGTTGGAGAACATAGCTCATTACTTGCTACATTTCTACTCTTCCCAGGTGGTGAGCTCATCCACCTTTCCTCCACTGGCTGACAACAACATGGTGACCCAGTGAGAAAACTGGAGCACCATCAGATGACAGACAGAATGGCTTTGTGCATCTGAAAAGGTGTCAGTGAGTGGCTGCCACAACAATCTTCCCCACTGCTTTACCTTTGGCTCAGAATTCACAGAGAAACCAGGAACAGCAACTGGAATTTCATACCCATTTTCATGCAGAGCTGAGGCTGAGATAACCCATGAAAGTAGCATTTTGGTTAACTTCAGCACTCAAAAATATTGAACAGCAGAGCGGGAATTGTACCAGCTCATCATAAGAAACAAATCTCAATTTTTCTACTTGCAGCTACACAAGACCTGTATAATTTCCAACAGCAAATGACTCACAACTCAGGAAATAAAGTGAATGGATCAATACTGCTCCTGTTAAACTCATAAAAAGTGACACCCACTTTTGTGTGATGAGATTACAGGGCAGCTGTGGAGGCGACTGCTGTCCCAGCCCAGCTCTGAGAACGTGGACACCCAGTGAAGGTGGAAGGTGCAGCTACAACATTTGAGTTTTAGCCTGGAGCTGTTCCTCAGCTCGCCACAACAACTGGCACAACTGCTGTCAGGATTTCGTACCGCAGGTAATGGGGAAGGGAGTGAGGGGAACGAGAGGAGGAACCTGCTGGAAGCAGGCTCTGCTAACCCACAGTAACGCTGCCTGCAGATCTGCTCTATCTGACACGGGGTATTCCCTCATCTCCAAAACAGCACACCAAATCCCAACACGTTTGTCACACATTTCCCTCAAAAAAAACTATCATAAACTGCCATTACTACATGTATTCTCAAAATCCTCAACCAGGACCACCTAGATTTATTCCTTAAAGCTCTCAGGAAAGGAATCTTTAGCCACACCTGGAAAGTATGAACATTAATACCTTAGTTACAAGGTCACAGCTGAATTTAAAAGCTGCATATGCTATTGCTGGTGTTGATTGATCTATGCAATAGTTTTACCCTGCATTGCTTCCAAAGAAAATCAGTGCAGGTAACAAGGAAGCCCACTCTGAGTAATAAAGGTGAGGTTTCCTAGGCAGGGGTAATCCCTCTAGAAATGTTTCAACAATTTGCAAGTTCAAGCTACAGCTGTCCATTAAAATTGAAGTAAAAATAAAGAAAATAGCACTACAGGGCAGAAATCTCATGCTTGAGATTGAATTCAGAAAGTCATCTGTAAGACACTCGGCTTCAGGTTCAAAGGAGCTGCATTATTCTTGCCCATTCCAAGCTCAAACAAATACAAGTTCGTGTAGAGGTGTGAGAAGCCAATTGTACACACTTGGATTCATCCCACCTAATTCCAGCCGTTCATCAGTGCTGAGGGCAAATGATGCCATAATGCAATCTTCCAGAGGCATCTCCACTCGTGTCCCTCCTCTGGCTTACACAGGAGACCCAGGCTGTAATTTTTAGCCAGCTGAAATTAGGGCAGGATGAATCAGGGCACAGCATGGAGCGGAAACAAGTCTGATGTGGTGGCACAGTATCACCATGACAATCCAGTCTGTCACAGGCCTGTCTGAGGCTCCCAGCCAGACACGCTTTGGGTCAGTGACCCACACCAGCCGTGCCTTTGCAGCTCACAGTCTGGCAGGGAGCTCATCACGCGCTCAACAGTGAGGCTTGAGTTCATGACGATCCCCCAAAGCAAGACCCGGAGCTGCCTGGGACTGCAGCCCTCCCAGGCAGCCCAGGCTGCCCTGCAGACTTACACACAAGGTCTGGAGGGGTTTGCAGCCAGAGTGGTTGCTCATCCTAACACAGCATGCACACACGCCCACGTATCCATGGTGCTGCGGGAGCTCTGCATCCCCACCCTTGGCCAGGGCATGGGCTGGCTCCTGGCAGGAGCTGTCGGTAATGAGGATGAAGCACACACTGAGGAGAAATACAGCGTTCTGAAACACACATTTGTGAGATCCCCAATAGTATCAATAGTAACGATTAAGGTCAGAGGCAGTATCAAGTTTTGCATGCACTTTCTACATTAGTATTTATATAGACAAGTTTCATTCTTGCTGGTTTGCAAAATTACTGAGGTTTCCTTTACTTCCAGAGACTGGAATATTGAACATTAGTTTCATTTATGATGTTGAAAGTCATTCTTTGTCTAAAATACACCTACAAATACTTGGGATTATGGGACAGGGATTGCCCTGTTGTTTCTCTGTAAAGGGCTGAAGTAACTGTAGAAATATTTTTTGATCTTAGAAATACAGGGAATTTATCTACAAATTGGACTGTAAGCATGAGGAACACTTACTGCAAGTTCTCAAAGTCTTACATGAAAGGGTGAAGGTGCAAAGTCATTAAGACTGCCTTGATTCTAAAGATTAGCCTACTCATTTAATTCAACTATCAATAGAAACACAGAATTTAAAGTAATCCAAGTAAGAATCCCCTTCAACTTTCCAAGCTTCTTCGCTTTTCCCATCATTGCCTTTCAGACTAGACAGGACTTGAAATTCTGATGTCAGAAACCAGCAAAGAACACACAGACATTTTCAGGTCTTTGTTGTATATCATAAAATACTGTAAAAAAAGAATGCAGAGTCCCAGAATTCAGGTTATTTTTCTCTCTCAGTAACCAGACAGAGAGTTCAAATCTCCTTGAAACACCACCTCAGGTAAAGCCTGCGGTGGGTGGGGATGAGGACACAATGCAGGGGCAGTGCTGTGCCTCTCATGTGCCCCTAGAGATGGGCTTCTGTCCTGGCACTGCTGCAGTTTGTGGGGAATAAAAAACACACCAGCTCTCACATCTCTGTAAGGCAGCAGCCTGCCCAGGTGCTGTGCCTGGGGCACCCCTTTGCCAGGGGACACTGCACAGCTGTGGCACCTCTCAGGTGTGCAGGCACAGGCACCTGGGATGCTCCAAAACCTGCAGATGCCTGCTCCAATCCAACCCCAAGCTCTCAGGAAAGGATATGAACTGGGTTGAATTCTCTTACATTACATTTAATATTTCTGTAAATGGCTTATAGATCTGCTGTTTGAAATAAATTCTGAAACCACTAAGCGTGCTTAACAGAGCTTCAACTCTATGTGGACAGTGAGTTCAGAGGACAGAACAAGGACTTTTGCAGTATATAATACACATGGCTGTACAGTCAAAGGCCACCTCTTGCTTCAAAACAAGAATTTACAGTAGCAAGCAGTGGTGGCAAGATTTCTTACACAAAACCTACAGGAATTTACAGGATATGCATGGACCACCGAGGTTATAACACCAGCAATAGACAACACAGAGTATCTTGTGCAATGTGAACAAAGTTGACAGTAGTTTACCAATGCTGTAAGTAATTCACATAAATATGCTAACCCACCAGCTAACAAAACTTCCTCCTCTTTCCACCAGAACCAGATGCGTGTACAGCAATCCATAAAAACAAAAGTGGTTTGGTTTTGTGGTTTTAGCCAAACATGCACAAAGCAGATGCACTCCAAGGGGATACTTGCAAAAAAAACCCAAAAAACCCCCCTCAAAACTGGTGTCCAAGCACACACACAGCAATTGGATTCACGCTTCTCAAACAGCCATGACAGAGCCAAAGTTCATTGTATGGATGCTTTTTGTCCTGGAAAAATAGTAATATAAAAATTCACTTGATTTATAACTGACAGAAAACTCCAGCTTTACTCACACCACTCTTCCATGTGTCTAATTCTAGCCCTAATTCATTCCAGCCCTACTTTGGGAACTTGTGTTCTCTTCCTTATCCATTAATGTAAATGCAAATCAAATCAAAACTACAACATAATCAGAAAAAATAAAAAAGACTAGAAAAATGAAATTGAAAATAGCTTATACCTGCTTTTGGATGTTATGTTTATTGATAACAATTTAATAACACCACTTTGCTTTCCAACTAAACCACTGGATGTGCTCTGTGTCTCTGTTACAGAGAACTTTAGTAAATTTCTACCTCAATTAAATATATCCTGTATTTGGGATTTTATTTTCATCCACTCTGCAAGACAAAAACGAGTTTTTCTTTGAAGCTGTTTTCTATCATTGTTAGGAACCATCTCGTCTGATTTGTGAGTATGTGGGATGCTAACTGTCCTCATCTCGAGCAGTGAGAGCTCTCAGGATGCTGCACTGCCACTCCTTATCTGGTGTTATACTCAATATTCCTTTCTATTAATGAAATGAAGTCCCGACAGCAGGGCTCTAGTTACAGGTATGAACAACCTCCTGCATGCTTGTTGGGCAAAATGTTCTTATTTTTGTGCAAAGACCTGGCACAGTACATTTATAGGGGAAGCCCAAGTGAGAGAGAGTAAGACATGAAGATTAAAACCACACAAGTGAAGCCTAAAATATCCAGTTCATCCAGTTGACAATTTGACTCCTCAGGGGTCAGAGCAGTTGTTCCACAACAATACTTTTTCCCATCAAAAGCAATTACTGATGATTTCAGTATCTCTGCAATAGCCCAAACCCCTAGACTGTACAGTCTGTTTCATAGGCTATTGAGAACACATCACCTTTCAAAATCCCCATGTTTCATGCTGTTTCCCTATGAAAACCGATGCTAAAACTGCCGGAATTTTCTCTTAGCAAAATCCAGCCTCTTGTCTCAGCATTGTAAAATCGTGAAGGGATCCCCAGAACCTAATGGCAAGAAGAGTTGTGCAAGTTCTCAAGAGAACAGCGAGGTAGCGAACGAACACCTTGTTTCTGGTGGAAAACTGCCCACTGCTGAGCCACCTGACCCTGGGAACAAGCCTGCTCGACCACTCGGCCGCTCCTCTGAGACCACAGAACCCTGAATCACCCATGGGACACACTGCGAACACTGACCGGGCAAATTAAACCACTCTTGGTGAATGAGGCTTTGTACAAGGTCACACAGTTCGGATGTCAAGCTGTACACTTTTGGGGATGTGGAAGGAGCTTTCAGCATGAAGTCCAGCTGTATTATTTAGAGCAACTAGGCAGCAAATCTCTTTTTTATCTGATTTCCCCAAAACCATGTCTTTCAGCAAATATTTACAATGCTGAAGTGAAATAAAGAAAAAGAAGGTGATTTTCTTTTTGTCTATCCATTTCTTTTGCGCACAAAACTGAAATAGTGGCTAGAAAGTGACCATTTGAAATTATAACCGAAAACTGCATTTATTAAATTTGAAAACATGTACCCAAGAAAACCTTTATACATTTTTATGGCAAGTTTTCCTATTACATGAGAGGCTTTCTTACACATTTTAAGCTTAAATGAAGAACAGCAACCAAACAGAAGTTTGGACTAAAACTGCGAAGCCGTTGGCTGTGTGGAGGGAAACTATGGCTGCACAACTGAAAACAAGATGAAAGAAGAAATTCACAGAAATATTTCATGTAATAGTGAACAAAGCTCTAATAAATTAAGAAACAGAAGAAAGCCAAATCTGCTCTGCATGTCAGTACTACAGATACATAAACATGCTCCTGCACTGCTAAGATCTGTGAAATAATGGCTGCTTAGGAAAGACTTAATTTGAGCTCTAGACTGTCCATGTTCAAGCATGGGTTTAGATTACTACAGTCCTACTTTTTTAATTTCCTGAAGGATACTACCTGTTCTTAGATCTGTTTAAAATTAACTATGTGCAGGCTCAATTTGAGATCAAGGTGAAGCTGTTGGCAGGATCAGAATTTTCATGTGCTGAGTAGATGATATATTTACTTTTTCTAGATTTGGTACTGTAATTTGTTCCCAATATGTAGACACTATACAGGAGTGCACTCAAAGCAGTATTTTAAACTCTCTTTTCTCATTTTTCAGATTGAAACATCATTTTGGTAATTTCAACAGACCCTCTGTATTTTTCTCTATGTACTCAGTTTTTACATCTGCCAAATAATGTTACACCACAGGTAAGTTATATATTTGACCCAGACTGGGGTGAGATCCTACCCAAACAATGACCTTATGTGAATAGTTTCATCAAAGTTTCAGCAGAACTGGCACAAGCAGCAGTTTACAGAACTGTGCCAATATGTGAAAAGTAGAAAGAGCTGCATACAACAAAATTTAAACCTAACTAATTTATTTCTGCATTTCTAGAGTTATTTTGAATCACTAAATCATGAACTGGATCCTCACTGTGAGATAACAGTGTTGAAGTAGTTTATAGGGGTTTATTTGAAAGATGTGCTTTGTCAGGATTCCCATCCTTAAGGCCTGAGCAAACCCAAGTGTGTCTGACAGCACCCACAGCTCTATCACCACTTATGGTGAATTAAAGAAAAATAAATTTACCTGTACGTTTTACATCATTAAGGTACATTTTACATTCTTGAAAGGCAAATGGGCAGGGTGAAATACTGAATAAACCAGTCCATACTTAGCCATGGCAACAAGAGTGGATCAGAGCTGACTAGAAACAGGGGAAAACAATAAATAACTGATTCAGAAATAGGACCCTGTGTAATATGTATCAGCTGAAAAGTCATTTTTGAATGAAGTGATCAACACTAAATATTGTAACAGCTGGTCCCTCATTAAATCTAATTCCAAATCATTTGCACATGCAGTATTGCCACAGAACACAGGAAAGTTCGATTGGTTTTAGGCAGTTCAAGAAGCTGTCCTTTGATGCATCCGTAAAGAAGCAAGCTTCTATTCACCTCTCCCCAAGTGGTTTTAAAATAAATGAGTAGCCTCCACATTTCTCATTGGGTATTCCTGTTGGAAGGGGAAGGAACAGCTGGATGTCCTGGGACGTGGAACATTTAATCCTACACTATGGGGAACAGGCTGAAAGCAAAAGCCTGAAAGTTGTTACTGTCTCTGAATATGTGACATGTTGGGTGGCAAGGGCTCTGCAACCAGAGGGCCTCCAAATAAAAAATGGAATCTCTGGGGGTTGGAAGTGCAAGTTCCAAACTGCAGTTTTTCCTGATTCTCAGGTAGTTAAGAAAATAATGTAATCCCTACATGCAAATATCCAGGCATTTTGTTAATGCACACCAGGCCACATGCTTTACCTGTGATTGAGACAGGGAAACTTCTTCCTTGCCTCAATGCCTGCTCTTAGACATGGCAATAAAATCTGGGCGACGTGGACATCTGCATCTGAGCACTGCTTTCCATAGGTTTGAGCAGCAGGTAAGACCCTGGTTGCACTGTGAAGTTCACAGGTGAATCCAGTTTCAGCTGTTTTCTACCAAGCTGGAATATCTGCAAGAGTTCTCACAGCATAACAGATCCCTTACTCTCCATTTCTGCTACTCTAGGATTTAATCACTTCTGTTTTTAAGAAGGCTTACTTCAACTTTGCCTGAAATACCCACTTACAGAATCACCTCCTATTTACTTCTATGCTAAAGAGCAAGATCTGTCTAAAAACCCAGTGTGAGAAGACCTACCCTGCAGCACTTAAAATAAAATTCCTACCAGAGCTGGACAAGTTCTGACATTATCAACAGTGCTGTTGCATAAGGACAGAACCAAACAGCAGTTACATTGCTCCTGGTATCTGGAGCATAAAAAATGGAAGTAGGAGAAAAAACTGAGTGTTTCTTCCCATATTGATACTCCAGATACCATGAAAATCCTACAAGGATTTGTAAGCAAAGGAAAGAGAAATGAACAAGCAAAAAGCCCTGTGCTTATTAAGAAAGAAATAATCCAAAGGTATAATTTAGGATTTGAGTAATTAGCACACAGGATTGTTTTCTATTGGTTCAGCTGCAGAACCTGGCCTCTGGAGGAGTCTGTAAGGCCTCAGACAAAGCATTAGTGGCACCGGCTGCTGCCTGTGGGGCTGTGCGGGTGTGAGAAATGCAGGACACAGTGAACCCATCATGTGCTGAAAGGACATTGTGCTCCCGTATCAAAGTGAGGATAACGTGTTTAATATTGATATCCAATCTGTGTCAGCAGTTCCATGCACAGGTTTAAAGGTCAGATTTCCACCCTTCCAAGGTGCCCAACAGCTCACTGACCTGGGAATGGCCTTTGGCACTCAATGCACTGTTCCCATCTGCCTTAGTCCAGCAGCAGTGACACCATCTGCCTGAAACTGGGCCAGAAGGAGTCCCTGGCTCCCTGGAAGACGACCACAGATACTACAGGTGGCCAAGCCAGGCTGCAAGGACACCTGGACTCTGGGTGTAATGGGGACACACCAGTGGCGTTAGTGACAACAGCAAAGGGTCTGAAGAAATTACACCTGATTTTGTGCTTGTGACTTGAGCCAATAGCAGGGTCTTCCTGCATCTTTGGAGAACAGCAACAAAGTGTTTTCCAAAGAGATGCAAATGAATGTGACCTTCATAATCAATAAGAATACAGCCTACAAAACCATATAATGACTATCTAGGTCATGTTTACATCTAATCAAGGAGTTCTTACTAAAAAGTAATGCTAACAAAATCTTTGATACTTCAATGTCATTTTGATACTCTGAGACTTTCATCTTTGAGTAACCCTAACAGGAGAGTAACATGTTAAATCTTTTTATTTCCATATATCATACATGTGTAATATATGGAAATAAAAAATGGGTTAGGAGATTGTAGAATTCCTTACACATCCAGCTACCATCACAAGCCTATCAGATATGGGTGATATTCCTTTACCACAAGCTCATGAAAGAGAATCCCCTTGCACATGGATACACCACATCCCAGAACTGCTCCTGCTCTCCAAGTGGCTCCTCTGGATTAAAGTCCAAGGAGAGGAATTTGCTGTTTGTCTGTGGCACGAATTTCTGCTGAGCCACTTTGTGCCTGCATTGCTGCTCATCAGCCTTTGTATCACTACAAACTGGAAACCTTTCTTTTCCTGGGGGAGCTGAAAATCATCAGGAACTAAGTAAAAGTACCATAATGTCGGTTTCAGAGCTCTGCCTGAAGAGAAATGGGAATGCTTCCAGAAGCGTTTCCTTTAGGCCTTTTTCTGCATTCTGGCCCCAGCTTTCATGTCTAACTGTATGTCCTCCTAAAAGGGCCCAGACCTTTATTCCTTTCTGTTCATGGCAAAAGGTAACACCCTCACAACAAGGCTAGTAGTAGTCATAAAAAGTTTACTGTGGCATTTTGGCTCAAAGAAAAAAAAAATAAAAAAAAGGCTGCTGACTGGAAAGTTTTGTGGGAATTAATTCTGGCAGATATGGCAGAAAACACACACCCAAGCAGGGTGACCTGATTTTCTAAACGGGCTTGGGAAATACTGTTTATAATTAGGAAGACAGATTGCTCATATATGTTTGAGAATCACTGAAAATGGGAAACATAATTGTAGGTTCTTGGAAAATGTTTTGGTGATAAGGACTCTACTGTATTTCCACTAACTACCACCCCTACAGAAGACCATGCTAAACAGAAAACTCAGTTCCAAGGGCAGGAAAAGCCCTGACACTTTATTGCTAGATTCTATAGCAATTGGAGCTCACTTACAGTAACCTTATAGTACTCTATATAAACTGAGAAGCTTGTATCAAATTCAGGCTTCCATTTAAAATAGATATTGCAGATATTAGGCTTCAATTAAAGAAGAAAAATAACCTTCAGTGCTTTTTTTTCTCTTAAAGGCAAAGTATCAAAAAAAATCCCCAAACCAGGTGGAAGTTATTAAATTTCTCCAAAAAGTTAAGATGAGCTTTCTTCTATTTCTTGAGACAGTACAATTTGTGATTCACAGGGTAGCTGGTATCAAACACAAGGTAATGAAAGCTCGTATAAGCAATTTTATTCCTATCCATAATGGCAGACACTAACAAAATCAAAAGAATTTATCCTTTGAGTTCAACTTAAAAAATAACTTATAAAGCAGTGATATATGCAACATAAAACAGTTCAGGGTGGGACAGGGAAAGCAAATTTTAATAATTAAAATGTAAACGTGAAAAAAAAAAAAAAGAAATGGAATAAAAGTCCCTACTTCTGATTTCTAAGTAACATGTGATGTGATCCTATTTGACAGTGTCCTGGGGTCTGTGTGTGTGTGTGTGTTTGGGTGTCACACACACACACCCCACGCTGACCCACACATGTACACACACAGACAGGCGCTGGCAGCTCCACCTCGGGCACTTCTCTCATGCCACTCCTTACAGTTGTCTCAAGCATGTTTGGGACTCACTTTTCTTGACAAAACAGGGGAGATGGTAGGAGAAAAAAAAAAAAAAACAAAACAGGTGGGTCTGATTGTGTCTGAGATCCTTTAGTTAAACTGTACACTGGGACGAATAATTTTCTTCTGCAGTAGCTCTCTGGAGAGGGCCAACTCACTGTGGTCTTCATGGCGACACTTGTGAATGGGTCACACGCTCATTGTCATGCTAGGGGAGTACTGGAAAAGAGGAATCCACAATTTAACAAACATTCTTCCCCCCACTCACAGGTATCCATAGGTAGCAATGGGTTCAGAGCTCCTTGAGCTCCCTCCTGAATCTGCTGCAGCCTCTCTTGGGGCTGCAGTTCAGTTTGTGTCCCAGAACTTCTGCTGTGCTTCTGTCATGCCAGAATACAGCCACTGCTGACAAAGGCAATGCCCCTGAGGGCTGTTCTGGTGTTACCCGGGTGCTGTGATGAACTAACACCTCACTGAGGCTTTCTATTCCCCTCCCTGCCCACTGCTGGCTACTGGGGAATTTTCCTGGGCAGGTGCCTAGTCTGAAATAGACTGGCTGCATTCGTGGCTAGCTGAACCACACAAGATTTTGGGGAGTTTTTGATTACTTTAGGGGAAGAAAGGAATAAACATATGTATGACTGTGATTCAGTAGGGTTTTGGTCTGTATTATTTTGTGTTAGCAATTTTAGGGGGCGGGCTGAATCACCAGTGGTCATTTTCCTTGATGTGAACCAAAAATCCAATTGCCACATCACACGATTGTAGTGACACAAACTGAACTGCAGCCTTCACCCAAGCTACAGCTACCCTCAGGTTAGCAGTGCTTCATTAAAGTAATCAATGGGACACCACAGTGCCTAGAAGAAATGCACATCCATACACCTAATTTGCTTTTAAATTGAAAACTGTGGACTGCAAAACCAGCTAATTTGGTCTAACATCCTCTAAGTAGAGGAAAATGTTAAAATGCAAGAAGATTAGCAGTTTGAAAATTGACGGAAGGAAAAGGAAAGATAAATTTGCCTGTGCAAAACCACATGTGCCCTTCATATCCTGCCAAGTCTTCAGTTACAAGCTGGCCATTTCCAAGTGTCCAAGCACATAGAAAGAGTATTTTAGATGGGTCTTCCCTACCATGTAAATTACAGAGGTCTGACTACCAGCTCTGAGGCTTAAAGCAAAGCACCTGCTCAAGGAATCTCCTGTATCTGAGCCAAAGTATCTGTGCAATCATTTTGGGAAAGGAATCAAAACATGGTCTCAAGTTGTTTAGGACTTTCAACTTGCTAAGCCGTGCATTGCTACTTACCCCTAACCAAAATTCCTGGTGAACTGAACAGCAAATCTCCCTGAGAAAGGACTCAGTGGTAACACCTATTCTGAGCAGCCAAGTGGCAAAGCATGGATCAGAAAGCAAAGCAGGCCCCAGGACGAGAGAGGAACCCATGTTAGAGAGCCTGCAGTGCCTGGGAGCAGACAGGGCCGCCCCTGGCATGTGGCACTCCTGCCTTGTGGGCACACATCTCAACAAAACCGTGAGAGATCAGAGTCCCTGGCTCTTGCAGGCAGCACAAAAGCACCCAGAACCCAGGGAGTGTCTGAGAGCAGTGATTTTCTCCAGAGTAGCACTGATGTCCTCCTGTTCCCACGGCCCTGTTTCAGTGACCCTGGCTGCTCTCAGCACACAGAGCGTGCCAGACTGGGCGCCAAGGGCTGCCAGGAGCAGGGACCACGTTTCATGGAGCCTCTGTGCTTTCTGCCATTCTGGCAGATATTAAACACTGCTCTTCTTAGGTTGTGTATGACAGTTTTCTTCAACACTCCACACAACCTGAATGTGTGCCCACCAACAGCTAACTGGCAGAAACTCTTCCTTTTCACTAGCTGAAAAAGAAAACCTCCCAAAACCCCTCAAAATCAGATTCCCAGGAAATTTTCCACGGAACTCAACTATGCTGAGATCTAACAGAAGCTGTTTACTGAGCAGCAGGTCACCACTGGCACAGCTAATGAGGTTACACTCCTATTTAGGGACCTAGAGGTGGATTTACAAACCCAGCTTCAGGCACATGAGTATGACAATACCACAGTCTTGCTCTGTAAAATGTTTACACCACATTTTGCTGCTTTGAGCATTCCATATATTAAAAAAACCCATAATTTTCCCCAGAATGAACACTAGTGGAACCTCTGCCTTTTATGGGTGTAACAGCACACTGCAACATGGAATCTATTGGAGCTTTCATCACATACTTCAGTGTAAACCCTGCTTTTTCACTGACCTCGTGGCCCAAAGAGTTTCTGCAGTGAATCTATGCCTGCCACCTATTCCAGTTTCAGCTCTCTTTTGCACAGTATTTTTTATTCAAATCAATGCTGTACTTTCAGAAACTATTAAAATAAATGCAAGACACACAGTGCTGCACTACAAGCACACTACAAAACTTGTAAAGTTTCTTTTTCTAAACAAAAGGCCACAGATACATGTTCACCTTTGCAATCCAACAAGCCAGGTAATGGAATACTTACACTCTCGCTCTGAAAAGGGTTTAGGAAGTTTCCACCCATCTCACTGTCATCCCTGGGAGTGCCAGGCTGGTTGCTCATGCTCATATTACTGGGAGAGTTCTGTTAGAAAAGATTACAAAATACAGATTCAGTGCTGCTTCAGGTTCATTTCCAGCCTCACCAGGTGAGCCCAGGGCATGCTCCACACAGAACTTGGTGCACTCAGGTGCACTGAAGCCTCTCAAGGATGAGAAATCAGCCCCAGCAGGGTTCTGCATGATTCAGTCACTAATTTTAGTCTGTTAAGTAATGTTCTCTTCCCTGAAGCAAGGATTATTTACCTGTGCCTCATTTTCAGGCTATAACCAGCATCTGCTCCTGCTGAAGTCAAGAAGAGCTGTAAAAGGCTGCAGCAGGGATATAAGAAGTTCTGTCACCACATTAAATCATGTGGTTGAATGCAGCCACGTCTGTGAGCCCTGACATGTGTGAGTTATGGGTATGTACTTCAAGATAGACAAAAGATGTACTTAAAGGCAGGATGGATCAGGTCTGCACAGACCTTTGCAGACTGAGGGCTGCTCATCATGGTCACAATTCACTGAAATAGTAACAATCTAAAGCCTTGCAAAAATTAATTGTTACTCTTTTCCTTACAGAAGTGCACAGAGACCTCTGCAACTTCAGAAGCAGAATGGGTGAAACAAGGTTAATTGCCACAGAAATGATTGTGCATCAACAGCTCACAGGTGGTTATTGTACACACTGCCATCAGTCAGGTGCTCTTACAAAGCTGCTCTGCACCCTGCCACGCCTGGATCGTGGGCAATCCTCTTTCCATCACTGCTACATCTCCTACTCAGAAGACTCATGATGGAAAAAGAGTAGTCAGGGAAAAGGAGCAGTGAAACCAGGGACCTCATAATGAAATCCTTACATCTATCACAGTCCTTTCCTTGGCTTTTTTTTTTTTGTAATTCAGAAAAATGGAATGCAATATAAATATAAATACCAAACCAATTAGATACATGACCTACAAGCAGAAATTTTTCAACAGCATCTGAAATGCACCTCAGAGAGCTGGGTCACAAGCCCTGCCTTAGCCCTTCTGCTTTCTTCAGTCTAATTCACTACTTCCACAACGGTGATCCTCAGACCCCTGGACAACACGTCCCTCAAAGACAGCTGAAGGCTAACGAGGGTGTTGCCATCAGTAACAATAACAACATTGACACCAATTGACACCAGTTAATCAAGTCTGCTCTCCGGTGGAGCCAGCACACCAGGGACCCACAGCTCGGAGAAGGCTGCACCCAGTGCCGTGGCTCTGCACTGCTGCTGTGCCCTGAGCAGCACCAGCCCAGAGCCTGAGTTACACAGGAGGGCAGGCTGCACAATCACAGCACTGGCCTCGACATCCAAGAATGCACAGACCCTGCACAGTTATTTTATATGATGCTCCTGCACTTTTGCTTCCTCCTGGGGGATTTCCCCCTATTTCACGTTGCTCTGTGTAGAACTAAGCTTTGGCATTCTGCCACTGCTGCAGCACTCCAGCCCCAAAGGGCCAAATTCCTGAAAAAATCCCATTTTAGTGCTTTTGTGGCCACTTGGGGTCCAGCACTATAGCTCCAACTGGGATTTTCCAAAGCAAGGGTGCCCCTGGTGCCTGCACAAATTCCATGGGCATTGCAATAAATGCAGGTTGGTAATTTTTATTTAACATGCATAATTTCAGTTCATTTACTGCCCTTGTCTGAGCTTACTTCATAAAAAAACTTTCTGTTCTGCCATTCAGCTAATTTAGTTAAAATCTTCTCTAGAAAGCTATGCATTCTGTGACCTGTACTGATTCTGCCAGGACTGGATCCATTTTCTATGGAAAGCTGTTTTACAGGCAAAATTAACAGCATCTTTCTTTTACTTATTTAAAAACCACATAGATCAACAGTTATTGCTGTGAGTTATTCATGCAGGCTAACATATTATGAGACTTTTAGGTAAATTGTTTAGGATGCAACTTTTCAGAGCTGCTGATACCTGTACCAGCACATACTGACCAGCTAAAAGTGGAATACAGGCTTTAAAAGTTATCCCATTGAAATGGAAATGTTTTGGATTTTTTCCCTTTAAAAAATGCTGCAGTTTGCAGTAAGATAGTGAAGAAAAACCACAGACTTTGATGAAAATGTGCTGTATGCTGTTTATCTCACAGGAGGGTTTTATTGAATCCCTCACTGCACAGCCCAGCACAGCGCAGCTGAGGCAATGTTGTCTTTCCCATCCATCACTTTACATCATGAAGAGTCTGAAAATGTTATAAAATGTAAAAACACAGGGTCCCCTTTATTTATACCCCTTTACCAATACTACATCAGCTCATTAATTCCTAAGTTAATGGTGATCACATCCATAGAAGTTTTATTTTTACAGAAGCAACATATTCAAGTATTATTTTTGTAGATGCAAAATCCCTGCAGATTAAACTCACATCCTTCTCCAGCTATTTAATGATTGTGGCATCAAAACAGTGCTTCTTATTTGGAAATTTATCCTGAGGATTAAGATATTAACATTACCTTAGAGAGGTGACAAACCCAATCCTGCAACACCCTAAGGAGATTGGCCCAAATTTACCTTTGACTAGAACTGATTATTAGAACTGGTTTCATTTATTTTAAGAGCACCAAAGACTACAACATGATCAGTCAGATTATGAACTGGAGGTAATTATATATAATATAGATATGATATAATAAATGTGTATACAAAAAGATTCATAACGGAGACAAAGGAAATGAGTTTAGAGTGAAACACTCTAAAAATTCCAGATATTCGATTAGATACTCACTTTGGAAATACTGTCCATGTCTCCTGAGCCTGAAATTAAAAAAGACAATTGCTCAGTTAATTTTGAGCTGAAGCTAATCCAATAATTTTTTTTTCATCGAAAATGCATAGTGCAACATCAACATTTTAAAAAATAACCAACTTATTAAAGTTTACATTTGGTACAGAATAATCCTCTCAACCAGTCTGAGGCTCCATCAACAGTTGCTGCACTACATGCACTGAGTATCCCCTAAAGAAAACAGATCATCCTGATGAGCAGAGAAAGGAAACCAAATAAAATTAAATATAGTGAATGCAAGACGATTGAAAACTGAGGGCTTTTTTCACATGCTGTAGCCCTCACCTCAAGTAAAGCAGAGAATAAGGGAAATGCAATTTTAGGATGGATGAACGAAGAAAAGGGGTTTTTTCAGCAGCAAAAGATATGTATTTTCAGGGAAGACAAATTCTGGAAGAGTACTGAGTACAAAACTAGAAGAGATCACAGCAAAACCATCAGAAATGGAGCTGTTGGAGAAGACTGAAACAGCTCCATCCTACAGCCAGGCAAACTAGGGCTGAGAAGGAACAGGATTTCTCTCTCCAAAAACTCCAGATGCATAGATGTTATCAGGAGTTATTTTGTCATGGCCCAAAAGGATAAACTATGTGCTAGGTACATGTAAAATCCTCCCATAACTTGCAAATGACTTTTTCATTTTAGCTGAGAAGAAGAAATTCTCAGCATGCAGAAAGGAACAGAAAAAGGTGTGGCTGCCTCTCACACAGATTTTCATTGCCTTGAATGCAATGAGCATCATTAGTAGTTAAACCAAATACCCATTTTAGGATTGTAATGGGTAAAGAAAGGCTGCAAAAGTTTCCCTATATAAAGTAATCCAAAATGTCAGGGTCGTGTTTCCTAAAACAAAAAAAGTTATTCTCTTTAGGAGATAGAGGCCTATGCTGAAATGTTATTTTTCACAAGTCTGCTCACTGAGCTTCAACGTCTTCTTTTTTCATTGCCATAGCCTCTTCAAATCATTCCCTTCATCTCACTGATGTACACAGAATTTTTTCCATACATTTTAAGAAAGAACTCCAGGAATTGTTCCCAGGGAACAGCAGGGGCACTGGGAATTCAGCATTTACTGTTCCTGTTACCTAATGATCCGTTCATATGGTGCGAGTCCATTCCACCCAGTCCGCTCATGGGTCCATCTGAGCCTGGCCCCAGTGGAAACTACAAAAGGAGCAGCCATTAAAAACTCAACAATTATTTATCACACAGCCTAATAAAGAGAACGCATTGCTCAGGAGAAGGAGGAAAAAAAATAAGGACAAATCCTCAGCCCTGAATGAGAAGAGACTCTCAAGTCCCATTCAGACCTTCATGAGAAGGTGTCTTGTGAAGACTGGAAACCAGCATTTTTGGGGTCAATTTCATGATTTTTGGAGACTGTCATCTCTGTAGGCTGGAATCCAACAGAGTAATAATTTATTATTTACTTCAGTTTCGGTTTTGTATGGCTTTTCAGACTGCTGCTGGCAACTCAGCCCCATCCCCACTGGAGTTATAGGGAACTTTTATAACTCCCTAAAATCCATCAGTGATTAATTAACAGCTTTCAAACCCCACCAGACCTATCCTAAGTTGTAAAAGCTCCTCATCACCTTCACAACTTGAGCAGCTTCTATCCAATTACATAATTAACCTTAAATTTAGCTCTTCACACATTTAAAAGATACTACCATTATAGCCAAACAATCTGCAATTTACTGCATAATGACTTAGCATATCTACATATATTTACTTTTAAGTTCTACTGGCAGGTTTTTTTTCCCAGAGGCCCATAACTGAAGAGCCACCCATAAAAAAGGAAAGCTTAGCAATAATGATAGCTGCTGGAAACACAGTGTTTGGATAAACAAAAGGCTGTGCTACTCAAAGAAAGATGTAAGAAAATTCATATTTACATTAGGTCTGTTGGGCCCAGGTGGCACAGCATTCATTAAAGTGTACATGTTGTCTCCAGAGTTGGTTGAATCTGTAATAAGAGATTATTTTAAGTGCTAAAATACACTTTTCAATAAAATTACTCACCTCATACATTTCCTGTCATTTTGTTCATATTATTACTGTGCCTCAATGCTATACACAGTGGCAATATAATGGCAGATTTTATTCTCTTTCTATCCACTGCTGCCACACAACAGGGCTATGAAAAGAAATAATTGCCATGGTCCCCAAGTGACTACTTCTGGGCTCTAGCTTTATGCATGACTGTTAAAAGGTTTATAAATCACCACGACTCTGTAACTATTAAATTCCTAAAATCCTGTTTCCTGGAGTTCTAAATTTCTTCACTCATCTTCAACATTATTCAAAGAACGGGAGTTTGTTTCTTATCAGTACTTCCTGCAATTTGTTTTCCATCTGTAATAAATGATAAAAAGCTTCTCCTTACACAGAGCGAGAGTTACAGTTTTTTACTCTCCTCCCTGTCAAGGCCATATGAATTTGAATATGTCCAAGTCTTCAGTGGAACACTGTGCAAAGATCCTTCCCTCCTGAGGGAGGCTGTAGCTGATCTATCTTCACGGCACAGCCTGGTGCAATGCTTGCAGGAAAAACCCAAACTGACAAAAAACTGAAAGGAGAACGACCTGACAAAAGTCCGTGTACATCCCTAAGGGGACAGTGTGATTTAAAAAAAATATTGGCAACTCTGGAAAATCAGAGTTTGTCTGCACGGAGAATAAGAAGAGCTCAGCACTCTGCACCCAGACCCTCCAGAAGCCCATTCCACACCCAGTGATATTCTATGTACAACAGGAAGACAAATCAAGGATTTTGTCTACTAATCAATATTTCCAAGATGATTTTCTAAGCATTATTCCAAGCTAATAATTCCATTATATACAGAGCACTACACATCACTAGAACATTCAAAGATGCTGTCTGAGGAAAAGGGGAAACAGAAAGGTTTTTAGCCTGAAGTGAAATCAGCCTATTAAGTTATTTTTAATATCCAGTGAGGCAGGCAAAGAGTTCTTTGTCCACCAGAATCTTGTGCAACACACATCCCTGGCTGTCCCCAGGTGCTGGGAAAAAGCCTGTCTGCTGTCCTGGCTCATGCCAGAACACACAGGGATGGTTGGGCTGTGCAATCTTTGAGCTGCTGGTCTCAGAGGTGAGTAAATACCTTGGCAAAACTCACAGGTAGCCAGTTTCTAAGTGTTTTCATGCTTTGGAAAACAGAAATTCAAAATATCTTTAGTTTAGGTTGACTTTTTTGTTTGTTCATTTTTTGGAAGGGTTTTATTTGTTTTGGTTTTGATTTTTATTTTTATATATTTAAATCCCTAGAATTATATTCAATGAAGTAATATACTAATGCAGTTAAGTTTTTATGGCCAGTTAGGAAAATTCCCTACCCTCCTCTGCTGGAGAGGTTAGCAAGTAGGGGAAAAAAACCTGATGCAGAAAATATAGCTCCAATAATTTTGTTATCTGATTATTAAAAAAAAAAAAAAGTGTGCTTCCTAAAATCTCTTATAATTCTGTTATTTCCAAGTATATTTCAGTACCTGCAGGACTAGGCATGATGGGTGTTCCTGGTGGCCCTCCACCTCCTGGAGGACCCTGGGGAGAATAAAAACTGTCAGTTAGCATGAATTAAAAGGTTAGAGAAAACCTAAAACAGACACACACAAAAAACCCACATCAAGGAATGTGTATTTTTTAATGTTTTGGTTATTTCCATGGCACAAATCTGATCAAGACTAAGAAACAAAAATGCTCTGGCTGTTAAACAAATAAATATTGACTTTCTCTAATAACACATACACAACTGCTAGAAATAATTATTGTTTTCATTGCCACATGGATACTACTGTACTTTACCTCTTTTGTTCTAATTTAAAAGAGCAGATACTCTGTTCAGACAGGGATATCTTTTCAGTGGCACTGATTACAAAGGTCTGGGTGTTCTGTCTGCTTACAGGATACCTGTCCATGTATCTTTTACTTATAAACTTTTATCCATAGATTTATATCCACATTTTATCCAAACCTATACGACTCCCTAGGCATCACAGGCTCTCCATATACCTGTGTACTAAGCTCCCTTACTTGATTTTTTTAAGGGCTCTCTCTGCATATTTTTAAACATCAGATAAAAAGATGTAGGAACAACTAACTGACCATTTATGAGAAAAGTTACTTGTCCTCATTAACTTTTTAATCTCATTGGAAATTTGCTTTTACTTCCATTGTTTGTGTTTTTTCCTCTCTCAGAATTTCTTGTTTTCAACTATTTTCACTCTTAGAATATAATATTATTAATGTATAAAAAGTATATATTTATGTATACATATATATAATATGTATATATAATATGTATATTTATACATACATAATATATCTATTTGTAGATATTATATATACTTCTATACTAATAGGTAAGTTTTCATATCCGTATATATTAATAAATTATATATAGATTAATCTTATTAAGTTCTCAAAGCAAGTAAGTCCAGATTACAAATCTTTTCACTAAGAACCATTTTTAGGAGCTCTCCAGCCCATCCCTCATCACCAAACAGTTGCTTGCCATGAAGTCAAATATTCCCAAAATGTCTCTAAATTCTTCAGCAATAGAATGTGGCAAACCCACAAAACCTCCTCCAGACAGAGAGAGCTTTGTGAAGTTCTGCATTGAAAGAACTGATTTGGAGACAGCAAATATTGACTGTTTACACCAAGCTGTGACAAAATGAGGCCTGTAAGTTACAGACACTTGCAAGAATCATAACTTTTCCCCCATCTAATTTTCTAAAATAAATGACAAAATAAATTGCTTTTAGTTATATAATTCTCCCTCCTCACCCTGTGGCACCAGCTATGTGCATGTGATAAAAACAGAATAAACGATCGGCCTAGGAGAAGCTCCTCAGCCATACAAATAACCTGAGTGCAACAACAACAACAGAGAGTCTAAAATATTAAACAAAGTTAATCTTTAGCTACAGAGACAAAATCCAGCAGTACACATTAACACCTTTTTCCTGCAGAAGTTCAAAACCTCTCACACAACACGGTTTTCCTGAGAAAGCCAAGGGGCTTCTTGTCCTTCATTATTGTGGACAACACATGGTATGAGGTACAGAAATGTTTTCCCTGAAGTGCAGCAGCGCTGAGGGCAATCTGCAGCAGGCTGACAATGGTTCTGGTGCTGAGCACCCACATCTGCACCAGAGGGGGCTGGGAAACCTTGGTGCAGGCCAGATGTGCAGCCTGTTCACATGGGGGCTCCCCTCAGCATCTGGGCTGCTGTTCCTCTGCCCAAATGAGATGTGATGTCCAACAAACACACACAAAGGCACTCACCACATAGTTCCCAGGAGAGGCTGAGGAATAAGGTATCTGTAACATCAACAGAAAAAACAGTGATTTTGGGTCCCTGTGTGCTGGGATGGGCTCCTGCAGCTGCAGGTGAGGGCTGATTCAATTAGTGACTAAGGACACAGCTGAAATCATGGGGAAATGCCTCTGCTGTCAAAATAAACACCTCTTTTCAGCAATTTCAAAACATTGACTAAAAACCCAATAAAATATTAAAATGTTAAGGTGTAAGATTACTAAGGCAATGTAGTTTATAAGGTGTATGGACTCAGTCTGCACATACTTGCATTTCAGTCAGCAGGACTTCAGAGTCAGCCAAGCACAAACTGAATTTGTACATTCTTAGAGATACCTAATTTTGAATACAATCTTGACCACAAAAGGAAAAGAAGTCCCCACATCTTTTGCCTTAGAAGATACTGGTATTTATTTCCATTTTTTATTTATGTGTTTTAAGGACAGTGTCCTGGAGAAATCCTGTGAATAATCTGGTTTCCTTCTCTGTTACTGCCTTTGCTGTTATTCTCTCCAAAGGAACACAGGCCAGTGCTGTTGTGGGAGCAACAACTGTACTGACAAACACAAGTTTCTCTACAGACAACTTGTCAGCCAAATTACTGTTACAAATAAATCTATTATTGAAATCGCCAATTGATTTCAGGGACTGAAATGACTTTAACTATCAGCTAAAAAATATAAATTTTAATTGAGTTTATGCAAAAGAAAACTGAAGAATTTCACACATAGAATTCAAAAGCCAAAAGTGAGAAAAGCGGGAAGAACTGTTTAGCAGGGCAAGCCAGACCCACCTTATCCATCTACAAGTGCCAAAAATGGACACTTTTAAACTAATGATATAAGATCCCTGAATGAAAATGAAGAATTTCTGCCTTCTGGAGAAATACCAGAAATGTCCTGTTTGTTTAGGATGCCAGGACAACCAAGGCTGGGCCTGGCATGAAGATACTTCCCTAAACACAAGAGATGTCAAATACATTTGTAATATTTACTTACAGAATTGGCATTGGTTGGGTTTGGCCAAGGTCTACCACCCCCAGGACCCCTGAAACAGAAGAAGAATGATGAGACACAGAACCACCCTCATCCTCTCACCAGCTCTGAGGAAAAAAATCTGAATAACCTGTTTCCAGAGGAAGGAAATGGCTTTTTCAAACTAAAGTGTGTTTACAAACCATAACTATACTAAGTTAAAATGCAAGAGCAGAATTTTTGTTGTGGCACTGCTATTCAGTCATTTGGTGAGTTGATTAATTTATTTACTACTCAGAAAATAAATTCAAGTCATAAAATAAATAAATGTTCAGTCATAAAAGCAGTGATCTTGCTCACATGATTAAGCACATGCCTGAAGCACTGAGGATGGATTCATTTACTGTGGATCTAGAATACTGCAGTATAGTCAGGTTTCATTAGCAAAACTTGTGCAATTAGCTAATAAATATTTTGGGAACACCTAATTTGTAAAAGAACAAGCCATACAAAACAGGTTGCTATGATCCCTGTATGGTGATGAGGATGATGATGATGAATGACCATCATGAGAACAGCAACAGCCATGATATAAATTTCATGTATTATACCCAGAAAACCCTCAGTGGGTTTTTCTCACAACTTTTGCTGTTATTTTAAGTTTCTCATTCTCTGCTGAACCCAGAAAAATATTTTGGGGGTGAGGCTTCATCTCTTAACAATGCACAGGGGACTCAGACACACCAGAGGTAAAATCTCCATGCTCGCAGTCACAATGTCTCAAATCCATAATTACCTCTGGGAGTACCAAGAGCTCCTGCTTATTTACAAACAAGACTGAATCACTTTCTGAAGGCCCTGACAACAGAGACGCAGAGCAGATGACAAAACTTTCATGTTTTCAATGGCCTTTTGGCCTCATTAGCTGTGGAAAAGCAACATTAACCACTGCAGCTCGCCAGGCATGGGGGAGAGACTGGAACAGACACAAAGAATCACCCTTCATTAATGAGTTCTGAAAGTTCCCTAAGTCTTGCAGAAATAAAAGCTATTAAGCGCATACATTGCCTGAGGGATTTAATATTGAATCTTTTTTTTTTTATTACGTTGTTGATGAAACTATAAAGGAACAATCTCAAAAAAAAAAAAAAACCCAACAGAAAATTTATTTATTTCCACTGCCTTTATTGTTGGAATGCTGGAAATCAAGAATGTTGGTATGGTCTTTTCTGCATCATTCAAAGAAAGACTGAGAGAGAAAATGCTCCTCAGGTCAAATATTCAGCAATTTCTCCTCTGCTGATGATCATATAGTGAAATATTACCCTTTTTTTCTTTTTTGGTCTTGCTGTTCTTTTTCTTATTTTTCATTGGTTTATTGGATCCTCTCTTTCAGAAAAATCAGGAATATTTGTAACAGCACTTAAAAGTCTGTTTTCACCCCAAACCCTTGCAGTCATTTCTGTGACATGTACTAAATCAGAGACAAAACTGGGTTAACCCACAGGAATATGGAAACTCAGAAATTACACTGAGATGTGGGAACTCACCTTTCATCTAAAAAGCTGTAGGAATTTTCGGATTTATTGGACAGCTTTTAGTACAGACTTAAGAAATCACTGCAGCAGATTCTGCTGGAAAGCCACATGGATTTTGTGGAGCCAAATGCTTATAAAACACACATTAAAACCCCCAAACTGCAATTTTTTCATTTTTTATTTTTTTAATTCCATGCAAGCAGGTCTTTTGTCTTTTACTAAACATTTATTTTGGAAGCACCAACAAGGTCATAAAACATAACCATACAAGCACCAATTCCAAAATACTTCACAAAGTCTCTGTTGCTATGACCATTTTTTTTTCTGTAATTTTTTTTAGAGTTTATCCTGTAAGTGTCAATTCTGGCTTGAAAAAATAAAAGTCTGAAATTCCAGTTTCCCAAGAGGCAAATATATTCCATCAGGAAATGAAACATCTAGACTCAAGTTTGTGAATTGAAGTTAAAAGACAAAATCACACCTTTTTCTTTTCTTTTTTTTAAAATCTGAGGCATGACTGAGATATTCTTAGTGCTTGAGACAGCACTGCAGGTCACACAGGGTGTTAAAAATCACCAGTGAAATATAACACTGAGGCTCCCTGAAATCTGCCTTTTTCTTCCAAAAACTGGCAGAGACATGAAATCATCCTAAAAATGGCTGTGCCAAGTTCCAACTGAAAAACTTACAGCCTAAAATGAAGTTGTTCTGTGGAAGAAGATGGGTTGGGCATCAGCTGTGTCCAACAGGAATGGGATGGTGCTGCTGATGACAAAGGCAGGAATTACCCAGCAGTGCTGCAGGTGTGGATGGCAGGGGCTGAAACGCTGCCTTAGGAGCCCTCAGGCTGCCCTTTCTGACCACAAAGAACACTTTCTCACCCAGGAAAACTGTCACACTTTATTTGGCACATAGTCTGCTCTTAACCAAAGCAGCTTCTCCTCGCATTCCAAGGGGGAAAAGCTGGATTTCAAACGGCAGCTGTTTCTGTGGAACACACATTTTTGCACTTGACACGGCCAAAACACCGAGGAAATGAACAACAGGGCAGTGGGGAATTGTCGTGTAAAGAACACACTCAGGTGGGAAGGGACATCCTTAGTGCAGGGGAAATGTGATTTCCACAGCGGGTAAAGGGTGAGGGGGGCACACCTGGGTCCATCCACTGCCACTGCCCCCAGGCCAGCCCTCACTCCGAGGCCTCACTGCAATTTCAGAGACAGCACTACATTTACAGTGGGGAAACACCCTCATCTCCTGAAAATACATTCCAAAGAATCCCAGCTCAGAGCAACCCTTTGATAAAATGTGTTTATAAAGACCACAGTACAAGTACTTCAATCCATCTTCTCTCTTTCTGCTAGGCCAGGAAATCTTTTTGTCATACAGAAAAAACTCTTTTCTTACCTTTCCTGGGAAACTCTCATTTATGTGAATAAATAGTTTCAAAATATCTTATCTATCCTTCAATTTACTTCTGGAAAGTAAATTTCCTTTTTTTAATACAGTCTTCTGTTGAGGAAAACCTCTACAGTGCCTCTACTTGACTCACACTGAATTTCAAAGGTCTAAATGTTTTTTCCACATCAATTTAACTGAAAACCATAAATGCCTACCCTCAGGAAGGCTCCTAGAATTGTCTTAAATCCCCATATGGGATGTATATGATAGAGCAACACACAAGTTCAGGTTTTAATTTATTTGCCTCAAGAATTCAATGTATGCCTGGAAATCCAAACCTGTTAGAGGTATGGTGGTTTTTTCAAAATTACATTATCTATTTCTGTACCTCTTTGCTTCTTCAGTGGTAACTTTTTACTCAAAATTAAAATTGTCATTTCTTATTTACGTTTTCTATAAAAACTAGAGTAAAAATGGGTATCTATGATATAATGAGAAAGCATATAGAAATCTTTACTGCTTTCTTAATGTTACATCTGAAGTATTTCTACACATTTAAAAGGGGGGCTGTCTTCAGGGATATAAGGTTCAGTACCCTGCCATGGCTACATTCACATTTAGAATAAACCTGAACTCAGATTATGTCCATTTTTACCAGATGATTTTCCAGATCCAGAAATACACAGAAACACTGACAGAAATGCACTCATATTTGTAAAGCTCCTCTAGCAGTTTGGACTGGAAATAAATGTACTTAGGGAAACAAGAACTGCAGTTTAGGAAGACTTTCAAATCAATTGTGTCCTTCTTATAAATAGTTCTAGACAAAGGCTATTTTGCTACAATTAAGAACTGATTTATTTTGCAGAGAAAAAACATTCCTCGCGAGATATTCAGTAAGTAGAAATATAAATAATGTCATTTTTAAAAATGCATACAAGGATATATCAGTGATTATATTGACAAAATATTCCCAGTATTTGAAGTTTGATCTGTGAAAAAAAACTGAGTATTTGTACAGACTTGTTAGGACAGCCAAGGCTCCTCTAAGACTGTGGGTTCACTTCTTGAAATTGCAATTATTGGTCATCAAAGCACGTTCTCCTTGCCTTGTCTGTGCCAACTGCTCCTTCTGCAATGCAATAATGGCATTTTCTAGGTACAGTAGGATTTGTGTTGTGCTTACATGTTCATCCCAGGCATCCCCGGGCCACCTAAAGCGTTCAGAGGGGGTCTCATGGCACCTCCATAGTTCTGCAACGACAACCAAGGGTCAGACTACCACAAAACAAAAAAACAAAACCAAAGAGGAGGGGGAAAGAAAGGACAGCAGGTTAATGACGTCCCTGTGCAACTGCTGCCAGGACAGGCCATGCCATTCATGCTTTCAGGCTTCCCTGACTGTTGACTAAAAATTGGGATCATTAACCCCAAGGAGAAACAACACAAACAACAGAAATTGGCTAAGAATGGCTGACATGGTTTCAGGGGGAATTATACTATTTACACATATTGAGTTCAAGTTAATGGCCAGCAAGGGTCAGGTTTTATAATGAATTCAACTTCTGAACCAAGGCAATTCAAAATCAGAATCCTCTACTAAGATTATGAGATATTAAATGGTATCATTTCTACCTAGATTTCATTATGTTTGTATAAAATTAAACACATGATATAACTTTTCTAATGCACTATTACATATCTCTTTCCATGATTCAATTCTAATAAATCACAGAATCCCGGGATGGGACCTTAAAGCCCATCCAGTGTCACCCCTGGCCGGGGCAGGGACACTTTCCACTACCCCAGGTCTTTGATAATCAAAATGAAGAGTATTTAATATGATAAATAATGTGCTAACAAATTAAATACCCAACGCCCATAAAATCTGAGTTTATGTCCTGATACCATGACCAAAGTTCGACCGCACTACTTGCACAAAAATATAAATTACACCTATTTTTATTCAATGGAATACAAGCAGAACGATCTGTCTCACCTATACAATTTTCCACCTGAAATTACTGCTAATCCTAAGCAGATTTACTCCTTTGGCCTAAATAACAGCACTGCCACCCATAGAGGTGTCCTTCCAGAGCAGTGACGCTCCTTGCAGAGCCCAGGTATTTGGTGATCCAATTAGGAAGTCATTTGTGAACTTAAATTTTTTGGACTTAAATTTTGCGTAGGTTAGGATGTTGAACACAAGAAAGAAGAAGCTTACAAAAACACTGGTTAAATGACAGCAAAAATGGAAAAATTATCCTCATAAAAAGTGGCATGAGATTTGCCTGCAGTGTGACTAATGGTGCTGCATAAAGGATCAGCTCAATCTCATATGGCAGCACAGCAGAGCTTCTCTTTCCTCCTCCAAAAATGGCAAATACATTTCAGGGCCACATAAAAAAAATAGCAAATATATTTTATTTTATATTTATTTTGCCGGTTGCTCAGCAGAGATTGTGAAGAACTGCACAACTGGTTTGTAGCAAGAAGACCCAAAACCGTACAGAGAGTTGTGAACAGACTTGAAAGGCAAAGCTATTCAATAATTTAGAGTTTAGTTGTTATTCAAACAAGAAGCCACCAGGGAGATTATCTGAAATGGGGAAGCAAAAATGCACAGTGTGGGCACAACAAGCACACTGTGAAACAAAACACTGGCAGCACCAGTGAGGAACACCACCACCCACATGCTGCTGACTGGAGTGCTGACAAAACACAGAGGAAACTCCTGGATTTGTGTTCCAGGGGTGCACCAGGACTGTTTGTCCTTGTCCCTCTGGGACAGAGCCACAGAGATGCTCGAGGGGGACATGGGGACAATTGGTAGCCTGGACATCTCACTTCACACTAAAATCTCTGCTGCCTGTGCCAAAATTTAGATCAACAGTGGATGAAAGGAAAAGTTTACAGAATTTGGAGAGGTATTTTTGGCAAAGTTAGAGGCTATTAATATTTTCCTCCTAAACAGCATAATCAGTGAGGAGGAGGAGGAGGAAACACCTACTCCACTCCTGGTCTGCCTTGCCAGTGTCAGTCTTTGATTACAACACACACTTTTCTAAAGAAAGCAAGTGAAGGGATTCTTCTTTTAATCCCAAGTATTTATGAAAATGACAGATTTTTCATTTCGATTTTGTACAGCTGCAACTTAGAACACACTTGTTTTGTAAAACGGGAGGTTTGTTTTAAAAAGGGGTTATGAAAACAAGTCCTGGGAATCTCCTAGGTAAGCAAAGACAGGGAATATAGACTAAGTATTGGCCTGTCACTAAGGATAACCCCTCTGTAGAAAGTACCTGTGGTCCTAATGGCACCATTCCCCTTGGAGGAGTCATCCTCTGCATCGGCCCACCCATGTTTGGATGACCTGCGAACAAAATATAAAATACGTTGTATTTATACATGCAATACGCAACTGATTTAACTATGCAAGACACAATCACCTTCTACAGCTACTTTTAATGAATCATCCCTCTCTAATCAACGGAAAAGCCTAAGGATCAGCACAGTGGAGAGGTCCCACACTCACCCTGCTGCCGTGTGGGGTCCATCCCGCTGGGCAGGAGGGGCTGACTCCCCGGGACACCTCCGAGGGCCTGAGGCAGGGAAAACAGAGCAGAAAAACACAGAATGCCTTGAAATTCACGTTAAAGACACAGCACACACGTTTCATTACTAATTCCTGGATGTTTCCTCTGAGTCAGGTGTTAATGTGCTTTTAAATTCCCACATTAATCTGCCCTCTGGGTTTACTGAATTAGGTTTAAAGCTCATTTTTACAGGATTTTACCTGCAGCTGGGTCAAGTGGAAAAATGCTTTTATGAATGGATCTTTGTAGCTGATCCATGAGGTGCTATTTAGCATTTCAAAGCACCATCACATTTTCAGCAAAACGTGTCCTGAGTGAGCAATATGTCAGAATGGTTTGGGTTGGAAGGGACCTTAAAGCTCATCTCCTTTCAACCCCTCTGCCATGGGCAGGGACCCTTTCCACAATCCCAGGACCAAACTACCACCTAATCAAAATTTGGGCCTTAAAGCTGCACCACAGCAGTTTATTGCTTCCACACCCTGCCCATCCACGCTGCACCTTGAGTAATATCAGTTACTCACATTAATTGCTAAAGCAGCAATTAATGAATTTGGCATAATGTGAATGCAGCAAGAGCTGCAGTTCACTGGGATTATGTGATTACCTTCCACTCTGGACTTAAAATACCACAGTGTGCAGACAAAAACACTGCTGAAACCAAACCTGCAGGCTGGCAGCACTTCCAGCCACCACATCCCACCTGCCAGGAGTCACTGAGCTCAGGCACAGAGGGTGTGAAACCCAAACCCTTGGCTCAGGGGGCTCGACACCTCTGGCTCAGATGGTATTGGGGAAGTGCAAAAATCAGGAGTGAACTGAGTTACAGCAGTAAAATGTTATCAGATATTAAGTGCAGTACTAATGGCACTGCACAGATGATCACCTCATCAAGGTTAATTAAGTCCCCCAGGGCCTTGGTGAGGAAGTAGCCCTGGTACAGGTAGCTTTACCTGATCCCAGACATCACCAGGCAGAGCAACACCTGGACATGTCCTGCCACCTGATACATCCAGCTCACTGAAATTTAGATTTCATAACTTCTGGTGATAGTGTGTCAAAAGTAATGACAAATTTGTTGAAACTGTGTTACACAAATATAAAAAATAGCCAGAAATGAGGCTAGGATATAGTGTGACAATCAAAAGGCAGTCCTGGAAACCAGAGTTGAACCAAACTACCTGTTCCATTTATCCTCTCTACTTTTCCCAATATTGTAAATGACCTAGTTTTCCTCTCAGAGCTCCACTGATGTTTTTCTGTCTGCTTGTCTTTAACTTTTCATCTGCTGACAACTCTTTCTCCTCCTCTTTCTGCACTATGGAGAACTTGAAAACACAAATGTTCTCTACTTCCAGAACCCTCTTCTCACAGATGGGCCAGAAAAGGTCCCTGCTGACGAACAGCAGCTCATTACTCATCCTTGTCTCGCTGGCATTGCACATCCTTAGATGGAGATGAGAGAAAATTGGGAATTCAGCGCTTTTACAAAGTTGCCAGAGTGTCTTTGGGAGCCACAGAGCACTTCATGAGACCTGTTTCTTACCGATAATCCCCGTATTTACTGTGGAATAAATATAATTTGTATGCCCACCAGAGTTGGGCAGGGAGTGAAGCATTTGAGACAGAAGTGAGCAGCTGGGACCAGCCTTACCTGGTTGGGTATTCTGAGAGGTGGCCTTGGGCCTCCAGGGTACCGGGGGGACATGAAAGGCTGCAGGGAGAGAAGGAAACAAACACTGCTGAATAATCCCACCCCTCCTGTAAATCCATCCATCCATCATCCATCCATCCATCCATCCATCCATCCATCCATCCATCCATCCATCCATCCATCCATCCCACGCTGTGCCACTGCCACGCTCACACCCATCCAGCCTCAACACTCCCACGGAGAGCCCTGGACATTGTTCCACAATGCTTAGCAGTATTACATCAATTCAGAGATTCTCAGCCAACCCATCTATCAGGATACATTATTTAACAATTTGTTTTTTATATTCTGCACTTTTAAGAGCAGAATATAAAAAACTTAATGCAATAATAGTGAAGAATAAACCATAATCAGACATGTATACTTTCCACTAGAGAAGGGGGAAAGATGGAACCTTAGAACAAAAAACAAAATGTTCTTGGGAGAGTTCAGAGGTAAGGAAGATCAAAATAATTCACAAATACTTTTCATGCATTTCTTCATAATACAATAAAAAGCAACACAAAATTTAACCTGTGGGAGCACAGGTTCCCAGCTCATGCTGCAAATACTTAGAATTTTGCTGGTTTCAGTCACCATGTCAATTCAGTGCTGCGCTCCTGCCATGCCTCCCTCCTCTCACACTGGATCTCCTCCCTCACACCTCACTTTATACCCAGATCTGGCACACCATCCACACCTTGAGAGGGTCTGGTGGCTCCTGGCCACCCCTGAGCTACCTCACAGCCCACAGACGAGGCCAGGCCCCCAGATAATCGAGTGGTACTGGCAGCAAAAGCATTTAACTTCTCAGCTCATTCCACCCCAAAGTGTGGCGGTAGCCTAGAAATATAAAGAGATGAGTGGCAAATCTACAGGAAAAAGGCACAAATATCTGACTAAACAGAAGATGAAGAGGATGGCTTTGGCAAGCAGGAGTACCTACAGCTCCAGAAGAAAGTGAAGAGATAAAAGTATGCTGTGTCTGAGCACAGGGACAAAAAGACTGATTTAGACTAGCAACAGCTAGCAGAGAAACTGCAATTATTTTACCAATAATTACTACTGGAATTTTCCCTATGATCTTACATCAATAAATTAATGAAACCTTTCACATCCTGGAATCAGATGAAAGCTGAAATAATGTAACCTACATAAACATGCACTCAAAGTAGTGCTAGAAAGCAATTTAAAATACAGAGGGTTTACAAACTGGAAAAGAAAGTTCAATAACAATTGTGAATAGATTAATAAAAAGATACGTGAAATGATGTGCTGTAGAAGAGGGAGGCTCCTTTGTGCCTTCTCTGATGGTGAGAACCTCTGATAAGAAAGAGAAAGGCTGTGCATGTGATGAGGCCCTCATGAAATAGTAGAAGTGTCAGGAAATTAGAATTTCAACCGTTTCCACAGAGGTCAACTGAGTGCAGCCACTCCAGTGAGGACCCTGGGTTTGACTTGTCTCCTCCAGCAAATGAAACTCAACTTCATTTACAGCTGTGCAGCTCAAAAAAGGGGAAATTTGAATTGTCTCTGAATTCAGCCATGTCTAAAGAGCAGAACCTGCCTACTAATATGCAATAGTAATAAAAAAACCTACTCCTTCCAAGCCTTCAAGTACTATATACTGTAAATATTCATGTATCTATGAATTCCATTACACCCAGGTGGAGCTGCAATCAGCGACAAGCAGATTTCAAGTAGTTCCTATGGTTTGGCTTTCCAGAAAAATGTTGCCATTACAAACTTAAATATTCTCATTTTTGTGTCAGTGACTGAACTTCTCCCTTTCCACTAACACTATATTGTATATATCATATTGTGTATTCTATATATTGTTTGTCCACAAAAAGGTTCCACCAAGATGTTTCAAGAAAACAAAAAAATTCTGTCCAACATTTTAATGAAAATATATGAAATACTCTCAGCTTTTCATGACAGCAGGAGTGGTTTTAAAGTCCCCACACACATTATTGAGCGGTGGATTCTGAAAGAAACAAACTCAAGCAGCAGAAACTTTGTGCCATGTGTTTATTCACCACCTCCCTTGTCATTTCCAGAACACCTGGCATTAGTCTCTGAGTTAGTTTTACTTTAATTTCCTACTCTTTTTTTTTTTTATTAGGAGTTGCTGGAATGTCCATTAGGGAGGAACCACTCTGGGCTTCCATTTCTTACAGCAGGCATCCTTCTCTCCTCAATTCTTGGCAACTCCTCCTTGCCCCTCTCCTGCAGCACAAACGGCCCTGAACTTACTGGGCTTAGAATGCTGGCACTAAATTAAAGCAGTGCCCACAGACCTTGAACTGGTCACTCAGAACTTGTTTATGAAGGTGAAAATAAAATGTTTGCATGCTAAAGACTGGGACATTTCTGCCGATTGCCTCAGCCTAAAATTCAGCATTTAAAATGCACCTTAAATGGATGCTCACACTGAATTTTGAGGAAGACAGACTCTTTATTTGTCTTGGAGTTAAGCTTGAAAAATACTCAATAATGCAACAGGCAATTTCAGCTGTGGGGTAGGAAGAAGACAGAGGGACTAAAATCAACTTCTCCAATGGAGTTCAAGAACTGGCAGACATGATAAGGTGTTAGGAAAAGCAGAAGAAAACACTCCAAAACACGCAAGCAAACAGACAAACAATCACAAACAAAACAAAACCTCCAAAAGACAAACAATCCTCCCAAAGAAAAACAAACCCTCCAAGAACCCAAACAACCAAACAGAAAAACCCCAGCAAAACCCAAACAACCAAACAAACACCACAAAAAAACCCAAAAAAACAAAACCAAAGCACACATAAAAGACGCAACCCATTTAAAAAACAAAGCTACACAAACAAAACCAGACCTCCCGCAAAATCCCTCAAAACTAAAACTAAAAAACAAGACAGAAACAAACAAGCAACCACAAAAAAAGGGGAAAACTCCCAAACTCAAAAGAAATCCCTACAAAACCCAAATAACCAATCAAAAACCGCCCCCAAAAATGAATAAAATAAAGAAACAGGCAAGCAAGCCAGACCTAAGCCACTGCTGAGATGGAGGTGCCACCAATGTGTGTTGGCAGCAATATACTGTAATTCCTACCCACAGGTATGAAATTCACTAATTTGGCATCACAAAAAGTATCCTGAAGGCTGCCAATCCTGCAGCTGAGAGCAAAGGAAGAAGAACCTTCTACTAAGGTGGGTGAAAAAGAAGCCATAAAGAAAAAACTTTTTGTGTAGTCGCTGCAGAATACTTGCATCTACCAACTTACAGTGAAGGTTAACAAAAAGGCTCAAAAACCTAAAAGGAGGAAAGTATTAGAATACTAGAATAATAGAGATGACAGAAAATAAAATCAGGGAGTGAAATGTTAAATTTAATAAGCCTCCTGCACTTACAGCAAGATTCCGTGTTGAATTGCTAAGAGTACTTTAAAGAAAGGCAAGTTCAGGCACTTGAATGATGGTGCCAGAAGCTGCAGCACTTTTTTGTTATCTCTCTGCTCAAGAATAATCCATCTGTGTACAGGGACAGCAAAGGGTATCTCACAACCTGTGTGTGTTTAATGCAGGTCTGAGACATGTGTGTGCTGTGCAACATCAAAACCTTCTGAAATCCTATTTTTCTTGGTTCTCAACACAACAGAAAATGAGTTTCTCCATGGGAAAGTGTTTGAGAAAGCAATGTTGAAGCACAACCACCTCACTGCCCACATTTTGGTGCCAGAAAATGTGATTTTACAGGAAGCATCCAGCAGGAAGCTGATGCCATACAGGCACAGAGGCTGGGATGTTTCTTACTCTCTTCTTTAGTTGTTCAAGAGACTCTCAAATATGATGTGGATCCGTTTTCACTTCCACCTAATAATGGTGAAATAAGGAATTCAGAGAGTGGTGTTCTACTAAGCATCACATACTTCAATAAACCTCTTGGTTCTTTAATCTTACTTCCCTTCCAAAAGCTGGGAGTGTAATTTACTTCCTTCCAGATACAGGTTTCTTGCACTGACATTTTTATCCTGTTTTTCCTCATACCTTTACATTTATCAATCACATTTTGTCTCACCTAAGTTTGCAAAATTTACAATAACCCACAGCCCAGAAAAGTAATCCTGAATATTTACATTCCTACTGAGACTTAATTGACTGTAAATATATTGACCACAAATTAAAAATCACATGGTGAGACACAGCTTCACCCTTGGTGTGGAGAAGAAATAGCAATAATTGATTTTTACAACTCAGCCACCTACAGCACAAACATAAACACCACTTATCCTAGCAGCTGAAAATGTAACCACGGACCCTATTTGTACACACTACAAGTGATCCTAAATTAACTGTGCTGCTAAAGTACTGGAAAACTGTTCAAGCTGCAAGAGACAAGGTGGCATTTCCTCTGGTAATTCTGAAAATGACCCAATCTTTTCATCTATCCACTTAAAAGTTCTAAATGATCACAAGTGAAACAAACCAAAAATCTTTGTTCTCCCCTCTGTTTAGCAATCAGTAGCAAAGTCACACATTCTGTGTAAAATACAATTCATCTTCACCTTTTTTGTTTTCAAACTCTAGTCTGGACTAAAAGGTTTGGCATCACTTATTGTTATGATTATTAGTATTAATATCCAAATGATAAAAAAAAAAGACTGCTGGCCATTTTTATTTCATTTTCCTATAAGGGTAAATAATATGTTAATAGATCTCTTTAAGACTCCAGCACTTTAGGAAATGCTCTAGAGGTGTTTTACACCTACATCTCACATTCCCAAACCAAGGGGGGTTTTCCCTCCTAGGAGGACCACTGGGAACCATAAAATATGTGTGAATTTAATTTATCCAAGTTACCCTGCAATTCATTTTTCATTTCATTGCTTTTTATTTTTTAGTTTCCTCTGTGATTTTTTTGGTGGCATCTCCCTCAGCAGTAACAATCACTCGAGTTTCAGGACAGTCTTCATTAACACATTTTAGTTTTAACCAGGACTAAACCCAAAATTGTTTTTTTCTGAAGTATTTCAGAGATGA